AATGTATCATGGTATTAAAGGGGCAAGATGGATAAACCTGCAACAAAGGTGTTGCTTCACATGTATAATCAGAAAACTCAGAATGTTACCCATCCAAAGTCCATGTGCCCAACACTTTGAAAGGCCAAAACTGAAAATGTCAGACTTGGGGGAGTAAAGAAAGATTTATTAATGGAGAAAACACCAACCAAGAAGATGAAGGACCTAGTCCTCAAATCTAGCTAAGGAAGTACTGAGTTCAGGTTCTTTTATGTTAAGGGAAGGGGAAATTGGGCAGGATAAGAGGTGATTGATTACCTGAAGATGTCTGGGTGCCAGCAGGCAACTGAGGAAGATTGTTGTAGTTGATGTGAGTCTGATGAAGAGGTTCCTGCAAATCTTTGATAAACAATTCGTACTTTCCTCATCTCCTCGGGAGAGACACTATCTGGTAAGGGGCTGTTTTGTGAAACTCAAGCTGAAAGCAAAATTCTTGTAATGAGTAGCATGTCTATATGTAAGACTAAGCAGAAGCTATAGCCTGAAGGCCATGGAACAGACAGGCCTGAACAAGATGGAGTCAGAGAGGCTGAGCATCTCACTCAGTTAAATGACATTGCAAGCAAAAGTCTGAAATCAGTTGCTGCAATAGAAAATTGTGATTCCTCATTTGGTTCCAGATCTTAAGCAGTTCACAAACTCAGAACCTTTGATTGAAGAGGAGACTTAGTATTTAGCAGACCTCTAACACCCAATCCCTGGTCTGTAGCATTAGAGCTGTTATGGGTAGAAGAGTCAAGTGGAGACCTTTGAAACTATCCATACCAAAGTGTTACATTAGAGGCAAAACTGCACTTCAGAGGAATTGCAGAAATTTGTTCAAACATCATCAAAAACTTGAAAGATGCAGGGATATTACCATCTAGACCGCAGCGGTTCTCAACCTGTGGGTCGCGACCCCTTTGGCAGTCGAACAACCCTTTCACAGGGGTCGCCTAAGACCATCCTGCATATCAGATATTTACATTATGATTCATAAAAGTAGCAACATTACAGTTATGAAGTAGCAACGAAAATAATTTTATGGTTGAGGTCACAACATGTGGAACTGTATTTAAAGGGCCAGAAGGTTGAGAACCACTGAGAGCTATGTACCACTTGTGAGGATTTTAGGTTTTGAAAACTTATCTTCCAATCTGGCCTGGATAGTGTTACTGATCTCTTTGTCATAAATCCTGACTACAGACTCCCACTGGTAATCTGTAATAAATTGATTTACCTAAGCCGTATCTTTATCTGGTCTGAGCCTGCTATTGATACTTATCAATATGGTGTTCACACAGTAGGTTATGCATTAGAAGTATCTTTCCCCGGTGTATGTGTGTGGCTTGTTTTTCTACCTTTGTGGTGGTATTTTTCATTGTTCCAAAAGTTTTTTTAATCTATTCAAGTTGATTAGATTTTTTTGTTTGTTTTTGTCTTTTACTTTTAGGAAAGCATTAATTCGTGACCATAAATACATTCATACATTCTATTAGAATTTCTGCTAATACTTTTATAGCCATTTCATATATATTACATAAAATATATGTTACACTATATATATATATATATATACACTATATATATATATATATATATATATATATATATATATATATATAAATTACATATTACTTCATGACTCTACTTTACTTTATTGATTATAACTTGTTTTCCTACTAATTCTGCCTCAGTGTCTATCTGTGGTTTTAGTTGGCTACTTCTGTCTCATTTGTTGACTATATATGACCACTAGAGGCCTGGTGCACAAAATTGGTGCATATGTAGGGTCCCTAGGCCTGGCCGGTGATCAGGGCCAATTAGGTTCCCTACCTCCTCAACTCCCGGCCTCCTCCTTCCCTTGCTCCCTCAGCGACCACTGCTGCTGGTAGCCCACCAAGTTCTGCGCCACCCCCTGGTGGTCAGCACACGTCATAGTGAGCTATCGAACTCCTGCAGTCGAACTCCTGAGGGACACTTTGCATATCAGCCATAATTTGTGCGACTGTGATTAGATATAACCTGCCTTGCTCCAATCTGTCTTTCATTCTGCCATAATAGTTCCATTCTAAAATACATAAAATACAGACTAGATCATGCTCTTCTCTGTTTAGGAACTTTTGATGGTTCCCAAGTAAATAATTATATTAGCAAACATTTCCATAGCACTTACTATGTGCCAGGCACTATTTTATAGGTTTTACATATATTAACTCAATTATTTCTAAACAAAGCAAAATAATGAGGTAAGTAGTATTATTATTTCAGCCCATTTTACAGATGAATAAACGAAGGCACAGTGAGGCTAAGTAACTTGGAAACACTGAGAATTCAAACCATGTTTTCAGGCCCCTGAATTTGGGCTTTAACCTGTATATTATACTGTTTTTCTAAGACTCCCCACTGAATACAGAACTAAGTTAAAATTTCTTAGCACATCTTCCAACTACCTACTATATTTGATAATGTTTCTCTTCCTGTCTTATTTTCTGCCTTTGGATCTACTGCAGTTGGTGGTTTACCACACTAGACAGGTTACTTATGTAACTTGCTATTTATATTTATGACTGTACCTTACTCAGGCTTTTCTATCATTCAGGGATAACCTTCTAAATGTTTTATCTTATATCTTTTCATTCACTCATTCCAACAAAGATTTGAGTCATCCTCTATGCCAGTTGCTAGGCTGGGGTGCTAGGTCATCACAGCAAATAGGCAAATCCCCATTGCAAGGGTCTTTCTGTTAATGTGTGGCAATTACTGTCCCGGGCTAAAACATCACCCCTTCTACCATCCTCGGTTCTCTTTCCAGTTCCAAGCTCCATGTTGAGACTCTTAGCATTTTTTAAACCTTCATCACAGCACATTTCACAGCATGTCATTTTTAAAAAATTTTAATTTTTGTTGATTTCAGAGAGGAAGGGAGAGGGAGAGAGAGAGAGAGAAACATCAATGATGAGAGAGAATCATTGATGGGCTGCCTCCTGCACATCCCCCACTGGGGATCGAGCCCTCAACCCTGTATGTACCCTGACCGGGAATCCAACCATGACCTCCTGGCTCATAGATCAAAGCTCAACACTGAGCCACGCCGGCTGGGCTCATAATGTACCTTTTTATCATGGTTAGTTGTGTGTCATCTGCTTCTTGTAGGAAATGGGTGGGTTCATTTATTCATTGTATGTCACCCTAAAATATGGTTGCTGAATGAAGGGATGAAGAAGTTGAAAAATAAAGTCTACATTAGATGGTGAGGTGGCAAGGGGAGAACTTTGTGCTTTTAAAAATATACCATATATATGTACATATTTGGAACAGTCCAAATGATTAAAAGCTAAATTAGGAATAGAAAGAGTATTAACCTTATTATTTCTTTCTCTAATAGTTGCTTTAGATGATAAAGACTCTGGGATGGGCAAAAAGGAGCCCTGCAGCCTGCAAAAACACTAATTATAAGGAAGTAGCAATTTACATTATTTATAATGAAGCTATTTACATTTCTTAGCCCTGTCAGACACAACAGTTTCAGAGCTCCATTCTTCCACTATGGCGAACAGAATAAAGCAGAGTGACAAGGAAATAGAAAAGATATTCGAATAGCTGCATCTCATTACAAGAAAGATAACACCTCAAATATTCAAAAAAATGCTTCAAATATAATTTAAATGGAAGAAAATGAAACTCATTTTTACCACGATGATGATTCAGAGTATAGCACCCATTTAAATTATTCAGACAAGCTCCAAAATCTACTGAAGGTTAAGCATTGTGAACAGTATGTGCAAGGAGAAAAATGACTAAGATGCAATGTTTCATAATTCAAGTATTTGAAATTAATTAGTCACATTCCCTTTACCAGTGACTTTGAAATGTGCCTGCACTATGACTGAGGTTGTGAGAACACCCAGGTCATGGAGAAAAATCCTAACTTTATCTGTTTTATTTTTATTTTCTTTCCTCCTCTCTGGTCACTTCCATTTAATTTTATCTGGCAGTTTCACTTTCATCAATATAATAGCTAGTACTCAGTGGCAAATTACACGAGCCTTTTATACTAACTGGACAAGTCTATTATGTGAGAACAAGGATCAGAAGAGAAGAGAAAGATTTACCAAGCTGATTGAAAAAAAAGAGATTTAAAAATACTTTTTTTGTAAATGTACCAAGGAGGAATATTTTTAGGGCTAAATTTTAAAAAGTCTTGCCACTAGTACACATTGATGTCCAATAGTTAAGATTGAGTAAAATGCACTTTAATTTAGAATATAGTGATAATTAGGATATGTTTGAAATACAAATGAATCAATAAAAAGTAATAATTGTTAAACACAGACATCACTCCCAGTTATAAACCTCAAGAAGCAAATGGACCAGTTGCATGTACTTGATTTTTAAATTGCTTGTCACATATTTTTAAAATTTCAATTTGATTGATATGCTTAGTGTTTTGGAGATGGTCAATACAACCTATTCATTTTGAACACAGGCGTTGAAGTCAGAAGGCTAAGACTTGGTTGGTCCCCGACTCTAGGGTTTACTCTGACCTTGGTCAAATGACTAAACTTCTGTAAACTTTGGTTTCGTAAACTGCGAGATACTAATAACATCTTAAGTTGTGAAGCTATTCTAATGACTAAATAAGATAATGTTTCAAATGTTTAGAACAATGTCTAGTACATATTAATGATGATAATCATCATCATTATGCGGTCTAAATTAAAAAAAAAAAAGGAATAGTTTGAATCTGTAAGTTTGGGCTCTCCTATTCGCGGGCTCTCTGTCCAGAACCTTCATTCCCCCCCCAAAAAAAAATCCCCCCCCAAACCTTCAGGGGTATCAATTGCTTTCTGGATTTGACTCTTTCTTCCTTTGCCCTCCAGGGGCCACTGTGTTTCCCCCAAAAGCGCGTTGGTTGGATGCCTGGTTGCCAGGACACCGTCGCCAGGCAACCGCGTCTGTACACTCCGGTGCTGGTCGACATGGCGGCGCACGGCCATTCCTCGATCACCTCCTCCAGCATGTCTGGCATCTCCGCGTCTCAGCCAGGACTGCCGGTGCCCCTGCTCCCCGTCTCCGCCACAGTCTCCAAGACCCTGCAGTCGAAGGCGAGCTCCCGGGACTCGCTGCCCAACCCCACCTGCCACGAAGACACGTTGCCCCTCGCCGTGTTTTATGGGCCGCTGGACGCTAAAAACCCACTCCTGGCCTCTCTGGAGAGGGAGATACAGGAGTTGCTAGGCTTTATGAAGAGAAAGGAGGCTTTGTCGACAACGGAGGAGAAGAAGCATGAGTTCAACCGGCGTGGGTGAGCGGAGGCGGGACGGGGGTGGGGGGACAAGGGAGGAAGGGGACGGGCCGGAGGAGTTGGCCGCTGGGGGCGAGGCGGGGATGCGGAGAGGAGAGGACGAGGGTGGTCCCGGAGCTTGGACCGCCCTAGGTCCCTGGATATGCCAACAAAGTTTAAGAAGCGGAGACGAATCGCTTTTCCATCCTTAATTGTATCTTTGCTCCCTGCTTCGGTCAGTGTTTCTTATTCCTCGTTTCTGAGTGTCTCCTAATTGCTATTTCCGACCAGTCAGTACATTCCAGGCTCGCTCACAGATTTTACAAGTTTCCTTGTTGTGGGGGCAGTTTTGTGTAGGGAGGAAAAGGAGTCACTTTGAGGTAGTTTTATGTTCTTGAAAAAGTTCTTGAGGCCGGCCATGAAGTATGCCATTCTGTGAACACGCGCTTTGAATTCCTTTTTATACTCTTCTTAGGACCACAGTGACTTTTTCGTGATTTTGTGACTAATTTTGCACATCTGTTTGCCGTTTGGGGGTTTCTATCACTATGTTATTATCTCCAACTGCAAACTACCTGTTGTTAAGTTTCTTTTTTGTTTGTGTTACTATCTTTTCCCTCCCAGTCAAAATACCGTGCAAACTGAACAGTTATAAATCTAAACACGTGGCAGAGAACACCAGAGTAGTGAATCGTTTCAACTGATATTTCTATTTATGCATTTAAAATGAAGAGATCGTTTTAATTTAAGTTTATTATTCTTTCATGTATTTAACTATTTATTGAGCACCTACTATACATCAGGTACCATACTAGGGAAATATCAAGTTAGCAAAATATATAAACATTTGTATCCTTATGCAACACATTATTTTTGTGACTACAGGTGGCTACTAAACACATCTGTAAGGAAATTATGTCCCAAGGCGATAGTGGTGGGGAGAAAATTAGAGCAGGTAGTGGGGATGGGGGATATGGGATGAGTGTTGCGATTTAAAATGGGGGTGATAGGGAGGATGCTCAGGGAAGGTTAGGAAAAGTGGCCTTGGAGAAAGATGAGCAGATATGGTAGCAAGTGATGAGTATTTCTGTAGAAGGAACTTGCCAAACAGGAAGACTGGCAAATGTGAAGGTCCCTGGATTGGATTGTGACTGTGGGAAGAACTGGTTTCTGGCAGGAGCGAGGGAAATCATGAGTTTAGTATTTAGGTATATTAAGATTGAGATGTAATTCAACATTCAGGCAGAGCCATTATGTAGGTACTTGGACATTTGGATCTGCAGGTCAGATATACACTTGGGATTTGTCAGCATATCAATGATATTTAAGTTGTGGTACTTGATGGAATAGTTGAGGGAGTGAGTGGATGGAGAAGAGGAGAGTCCCAGGACTGAACCCTGGGATGCTTGAACATTGACCATGGGGGGAGGGGGGATAAAAAAACCCCAAAACTGGCAGAGATTTAAAAGAGTAGCCAAGGAAGTAGGAGAGAATCAGTAAGTGAGTGGTGTACTGGAAGCCAGGGAAAGAAGGAGTTCCAAGGAGGAAGGGATGACCGATCAACTGTGGCAAATCCTGATGATGGGCCAAGTAATATGAAAACCAAGAATCAACCAAGGAGAGCACATTACATACCTAAGCTATGTATATTTGTATTTAAAATATTTCCGTGTTTGTGCCTTAGCTAGCACTTTATCTTTCCATCTCCACGGCCAACATTCCAGTTCAAACCACCACCATCTTGGATTTTCCCTGCAGCTACTTGATGCTCAGAAGTATCCTTCACATAGCAGTCAGGGCGACCTTTATGAATAAATCACCCACTCCGCTATTTAAAGACTTCCTATTGCCCTCCCTTGCTTTTTAGAATAAAATTGAGACTTCTCATGATATCCCCAGAGTCTGAAGATCTGGCCTTGCCTGCCTCTCTCATCTCAGCTCATCCTCACTTGTCTCTCAGGGCTTTCCAGGGAAACATCCTACTGTTTCTCACCCCAGGGAGTTAGTATTTGCTGCCTCCTTTGTCTGAAATATTCTTGCTTAAGCTTTTCAAATAGTTGGTTCCTTCTCTTCTTTCAGGTCTTAGCTCAGTTTTTACCTCCTTAGAGTGGCTTTTCATACCTAATTCAGGTTTGTCCATCAATTTATATTTTTTATTTATTTGTTTTGCTGTGGGCTGTCTCTCTCCACCATTAGAATGTAAGCTCCCTGTGACTTTTGAGTGATGTGTCTCTTTTTCATTGCTCTATCTCCAGCACCTACCCTGGTGACTGGGACATAGTAAACATTCAATGCATATTTGGTATTGAAAGAATTCAAGGGTTATTATCCTTGCATCTCAATCATCGTTAGTGTTGTATATGGGAAAGTAGACCTGAATCGATCAGTAAGTACAGGACCTGCCCCATCTTTAAACAGACTTATTAGAGGGTCACAAATGTTAAGGATTGACATGGACCTTAGCAATCTAACCTCTCCTACAATTTAGGTATTTATTTTTTTTATACAACAATTTTAATTGAGTGTCTATTATGTGCCAGGCACTGCCCTCGTTGTGAGGTATACAGTGGTGAACAAAACAGATATGGGGATCTGTGCTCATGGAGCTTGTAGTCTAGAGAGGGAGATAGGCTTCCAAATGAGTCATTAAGTCAACACAGAAACAAGGGCAATGCAAGGAGAAGTTACTGAGCACGTATATGTGCCAGGCATTGTACTAGGTGCTGGGGATACAGCAGTGAACCAGACAAAAATCCTCGCCCTCTCGGTGCTTATATTCTAGAGGAGGAAATAGATAATAAACATATTAAGCAAGTCTATTGTATGGTGACCTAGAAAGTGATACATGCTAAGGAGAAAAATGAAAGAGAGGAAGGGTTACGGGATGGGAGACAGGAGGTTGTCATTTTCAATAAGGTGGTCAGGATAGAGGCTTGAGCAGAGGCTTAAAAAGAACACAGCAGGGGCATTTCAAATGAATGGTGAGGGCAGTGACATTAAGCTGAGATTAGGAGGAGGGCTGGCAGTTGACCAGGCAAGGAGAGAGGATAAATAGAGAGAACAAGCATGTGGGAAGATCTTGGCAGGAGAGAGTCAGGGACTTTGGAGGCATGGACAGAAGCCCATTTAGCATAGCTTGCTGAGTGTGGGTGCAGTGGCATGAGGTGAGATTAGAGGAGCAGATAGGGCTCTGGAAGGTTTTAGAGGCCATTTATAGAGTTTGTGTTGATTCCGAATGCAATGAGAAACCATTGGGTAGTTTTTGGCAAGGTACTAACCTCATGTGATTTTGTTTGAAAATATTATTTTGGTGGTCTTGTTCAAATGGAGCAAGAATGACCAGGTGGAGACCAGTTAGGAATACAGGAGGTAGGATTTGCTTTTCTAAAATGTTTGACAGATGGTTATTTCTTACAATGAACATTTGTTTCCTTTTGTAACTGTAAGACCTTCCATAAGCATAAAAATTCATAGTCTTCAAAATGTAGATTTTGATCAGACCAACAATGTCATTAGATTTAGAGTCTGATAAATTTTTAAAAGGTATGCTTTTGTTATAAACACATAAGATTTAGATATATGGTTTATATAGTTGTGAATTTCTATTTTAGAAAATCCTAAATATCCAGCAGCAGCTATAATCAATCAGCAATCCAAACTGTATTAACATTCTTCTCTTAAATGATGTATATTATATAGTCTATGTTATATTTTCCATGTTTAATCATTATGTAAGCCATTCCCAACGAGCAGTCTTAACTTGATCTTAGGGTTCACTTAAAAAAAAAGAAAGTTCTTTTATTATATAACCTTGATTGAATTAACAAAGCTGATATTTTTCTTTTATGAGTAACAAACCTAGTCATCATTATGTCACCCATAAGGTTTGAAAGAATTAACTCTTTCATCTACATAATTTAGGGGTTGGAGGGATTGAGCAAAAAGGAAAAAGAATCATGGACATGCACAGCAGTGAGGTGATTGCGGGCAGGTGGGGGTGGGTGGGTGGAGGTGAAAGGGCAGAGAGGAGATAAATGGTAATGGGAAAAATAAAATAAAATAAAAATTTAAAAAGAATTCTAGCAAGATGGTGAATTTTTCGGATTCATTATATTTATTCTAATATTGTAGGATTTCATGAAGCATCAAATGAAACAGAAAAAGGTAAAACAAACAAAAACCCCCAAAGCTTCTACCTTTTTAAACTTCTATGGGCTATATTTGCCACACCATTTATTTGGTATTGTTATTTAGTACTTGTTTCATGTGTACATTTTTTAGCCACTGATATTATTATTCAGTCCACAAAGACAGGAATACCCTAGCCCCCTACTTCCCTTGTCACTCAATCAATATCATTTAATTACCTTAATGAATTAATTGACATTTCTATTCAGGTTGTATTATTAATATCCCAACATGCATATCAAAGTACTAGAACCATTTTCAGTCCTTGACTTTAGATTCCTGTCTGTATTAGTTATTTTGGGCTGCCATACAAATACCATACATTGTCTGTCTTAAAAAACAGAAATGTATTTTCTCACAGTTCTGGATGCTAGATATCTCAGACCAAGGTTTGGAAGGGTCAGTTTCCGGTGAGAGCTCTCTTTCTGGCTTACAGATACCCACTTTGTCCTCATATAGCCTTTCCTCTGAGGAAGAACAAAGAGAAGGAAGAGGTAGGGAGGGAGAGAAAGAGGAAGGCAGGGAGAGAGGGAGGGAGGAAGGGAAGAAGAACCAGAGTAAGCTCAAGTGCTCTCTGGTGTCTCTTCTTAGAAGAGCATTAATCCATAACACTGTCCTTATCCGGAAATGTATGATAGGATTGGACAACTGTCAAGGGAAATTTGGATTTTTCCTAGAGGCATTTATAATGTCTGAGAGAGTGGGAAGGAGTAAATGTTAACTAAATGAATGAACAAAATAAGCAATGATCTGCTACCCCCTGAAACTTTGATTGGAAACTATGTTGAGAATACCGTATGCTTTGTTTTTGTTTTACTTGGTGGAATGAAGCATCGCCCTAAATGGATTGACTAGGTATTTGAATCCTTGTAGTCTTTATAAAAAAGAATAAAATAAAAGCAAAGAATGTTTTTTTTCCTATTCATTCAGCCATTCATTCATTGTTTCAACAAATATTTATTGTGTACCTACATGTACTATATTCACTACTCTTGGAGCTTGACAGTGAATAATATAGTTGAGGTCCTTGCTCTCAAGGAGTTTATATTCCAGAGGATTGGAAGGCTCAGTTAAATATATACTAGTTAAGAGCATGAATACACTAAGCCTCAGTTTCATCAACTGTATATTTGGGATATTAATATTACCCATCTTAGGGTTGTTGTGAAAATGAAATGAAAAAAAAAGCAAGTTAGCAAAAGATCCAGAGCAGCTAACATAATATTGAAAACAAAGTTGGAGGACTGACAGTCGCTGACCTCAATCAAGACTTACCATAAAGCTACACTAATTGAGTGTGGTGTTGGTAAAAGTGGACAAGTAGATCAAAGGCACAGAGCAGAGAGCCCAGAAATAGGCACACATAAATATAGTCAACCGATCTTTGAGACAGGAGCAAAGGCAATACAATGGAGTAGAGATAGTCACTTCAATAAATGGTATTAGAACAACTGGATATCCACCTGTAAAAAAAAAATGATCTAGACAGAGACCTTATACTCTTCCCAGAAATTAACTCAAAATGGATCACAAACCTAACATAAAATACAATGCTGTAAAGATAACAGAGGAGAAATGTAGATGACCATGGGTCAATATGTTTTTATATAACATCAAAGGCATGATCCATGAAAGAAAGAATTAATAAGCTGGACTTCATTAAAATTAAAATTTTATGCTTTGTGAAAGTCACTGTCAAGAGAATAAAAACCAAGCCTCAGATAGGGAGAAAAATTTGCAAAAGATATCTGATAAAGGACTATTATCAAACTATACAAAGAACTTTAATACTCGACAGTAAGAACAAACAACCTGATTAAAAGAGTGGGCCAACTTGATTAAAAGAGTGGGCCAAAGACCTTAACAGACCAGAGAAGATATTCAAATGGCAAATAAACCTATCACCTGGGAGATGCAAATTAAAATAACAATGATGCCCTAACCGGTTTGGTTCAGTGGATACAGCGTCTGCCTGCGGACTCAAGGGTCCCAGGTTCACTTCCGGTCAAGGGCATGTACCTTGGTTGCGGGCACATACCCAGTAGGGAGTGTGCAGGAGGCAGCTAATCGATGTTTCTCTCTCATTGATGTTTCTGACTCTCTATCCTTCTCCCTTCCTCTCTGTAAAAAAATCAATAAAATATGTTAAAAATAAAATAAAATAATGATACACCACTACACATTTATTAGAATGGCCAAAATCTGGAACACTGACAACAAATACTGTTGAGGATATGGAGCAATAGGATCTCTCATTGCTGGTGAGTACAGCCACTTTGGAAGATACTTTGGTGGTTTTTTATAAAATTAAATATATTCTGGTAAACTGTTCTTGGTATTTGCTGGAAGGAGTTGAAAACTTATGTTCATACATAAGTCTGTACATGGATGTTTATAGCAGCTTTATTCAAATGGACAAACTTGGGAGCAAATGTCTGTCATGAAGTGAAAGGATAAATGAACTGTGGTACATCCAAACAATGGAATATTATTCAGTGCTGAAAGGAAATGTGCTATCAAGCCATGAAAAAACATGGGGGAATCTTAAATGCACATTACTTAGTGGAAGAAGCCAGTCTGAAAAGGCTATATACTGGATGATTTCAACTATATGACAGTTTGAAAAAGGCAAAACTATGGATAGTATAAAAAGATCAGTGGTTACCTGGGGTTGAGGGTAGGGAGGAATGAATATGCAGAGCACAGAGGATTTTTAGGGCAGTGAATAGTAATATCATACGTTTGTCAAAATGCATAGAATGTACAACACCAAGAGTAAACCCAAATGTAAGCTATAGACACTGGGCGATAATGAGGTGTCAATGTAGGTTCATCAGTTGTAACTATGGTACCACTCTGGTGGGGGATGTGGATAATGGGGGAGGCTGTACATGTGTGGGGCAGGAGGTATATAGGGAATCTCTATACCTTCTGCTCAATTTTTCTGCGAACCTAAAAACATCTGTTTTATAAAAATATATATAAAGAGCTTCAATCAGTGCTTTACACAAAAGCAATGATTTTAGCTATACTTATAATTTATTAATAACTAGAGGTCCAGTGCATGAAATTCATGCACTGGGGAGGGGGTTGTCCCTCAGCCCCGCCTGCGCCCTCTTGCAGTCCAGGACCCCTAAGGGGATGTCTGACTGCCGGCTTAAGCCTGCTCCCCGGAGAGTGGGCCTAAGCCAGCAGTCAGGCATCCCTCTCAAAGTCCAAGACCCCTCGCTCCTTACCGCCTGCCTGCTTGCTGCTCCTTACCGCTCAGCTCACTCCACTTTAGCACTGCCGTGAAGGCAGGAGAGGCTCCTGCCACCGCCACTATGCTCGCCAGCTGTGAGCCTGGCTTCTGGCTGAGTGGCACTCCCCCTGTGGGAGTGCACTGACCACCAGGGGCAGCTCCTGTGTTTCAAGTGACCTGTCGTTCTGGTCATTCCGCCGTAACAGTCACTTAGGCTTTTATTATATAGACTAGAGGCCCTGTGCACGAAATTTGTGCACTGGGGGGGGGGGTCCCTCAGCCCAGCCTGCCCCCTCTCACAGTCCGGGAGCCCTCAGGGGATGTCCTATTGATGGACATCCGCAGTCTGGCCGCGGAGACTTGGAGCAGGCTCCCCGTGTGTGTGTGTGTGTGTGTGTGTGTGTCCCCGCTGGGGGCTTGCCCCCAGACGTGCCACAGAGGCTCGGAGCTGGCGCCCCTCTGTGTTGATCTCTCAGGCTTGGGTGGGGCCCGACCCCTTCTCCTGAGCTGGTCGTGACTGTGACAGAGTCTCAAACTCATTTTCATATTACTTATATATATATATGTAGAGAGAGAGAGAGAGAGAGAGAGATTAGACATCAACAAAAAGGCACATTGGAAAGACTTAGCACCAGATAAGTTTTTAAGGATTGCTTTCTAATTAATTGAGCTTTCCTACTGTGATGATATCATTTTATTTTGTGGTTTTTACAGTGCTATGTCTTTGTTTAATATCTGGACCAAATACGCACCCCGGCTGCCCACTGCCTATTATAATGAAAAGCTTCTGAAGGTTGGAGATAGCCTCTGCGAAATGAAAGTAAGTGCCTTCGGAGTAAAGAGAGCCTAAATCAGGGGTCCTCAAACTACGGCCCGTGGGCCACATGCAAGTACAAATATTGTATTTGTTCCCGTTTTGTTTTTTTACTTCAAAATAAGATATGTGCAGTGTGCATAGGAATTTGTTCATAGTGTTTTTTTAAACTATAGTCCGGGTTGGAGATAGCCTCTGCGAAATGAAAGTAAGTGCCTCCGGAGTAAAGAGAGCCTAAAACCTAAATGATACTCATTTGGCTAATTATATTATTGTTTGGTTAATACCATTACTATTTTACATGATTTGATTATTGTTGCTGTTTAGAAAAAAATAAATGAATTCATAAAATTTTAATGAGGCACAGTAACCAAAAGAGTGTTTGTTTTTTAATTTTGTAGTTGAGATTTTTCCAGAGGTGAGATGTTCCTGAACAGAAAGACAGCTGCCTGGGGATGGCTAGGAGCAGAGGCCCTAGCTAACAGGGTGTGGTAGGCGCCCAACAGGAAATGCTGAGTCATCATGTTCCTACGGTATACAAAGGAGCCCAGACACCACTTCCTGTTGTTTTTCACATGGTTGGCCTTACCCAGCATACAACTCTCATGGCTTCTGGCCTTGCTGCTGTGTTGCCTATGTCCCAATGCCTGTTTGAATGACTTTCAATTCCTTGTTAATGTTCTGCTGAATGTAAATATAGCAGTCATTCCATACATGCCCTGTTTCTTGCTCAGTATTGTATTCCAAATGGGAGTTTTCCCCTATTTCTAGTTCCACATCAATGCCCAGGTCTTAGATTGCTGTGGACTCATGGACTTGCTAAGACCACACACACCATCGCTGACTTTTCAGTGAATGATGATGTAAGTTTTCCCTTCAGTTCTGGCATAGGCCCCAATTACTCTAATTTAAATATGAGTTTTTGGCTCATCTAGGATCCTTGGACCGAGATTTATTTTATCCAAAGTGACTTTAGGCCAGACATTGGCCGTATATAGTGTCTTCTCTATCTTTAGTTTCTCAGTGTCATTTTCTTCCTATATTTCTATTTTCTGGACTTGAATCCTTTGGTTTAGGAGGGAAGTTTATCAAATAGAGGATAAGATAAAAAGGAACTTTCATAATGAAGAACTAAGATCTATTTTCTGCTGTCAAAATGTGAGAATCACCTTAGCTCCATGCAACTGGACCATGGTTCTTAGAAACTTGAAAATACAGTTTGGAAAACTATAGGACAGTGGTTCTCAACCTTCTGGCCCTTTAAATACAGTTCCTCATGTTGTGACCCAACCATAAAATTATTTTCGTTGCTACTTCATAACTGTAATGTTGCTACTGTTATGAATTGTAATGTAAATATCTGATATGCAGGATGGTCTTAGGCGACCCCTGTGAAAGGGTCGTTCGACCGCCAAAGGGGTCTCGACCCACAGGTTGAGAACCGCTGCTCTAGGAAAAATAAAATGATGAGTTCCAACTTGTAAGCTGTATTTATGTGAAGTGGAATAACAGTTTTGACAAGAATTAAAAGAGTGTTCCCTCTCCATTTTTATGCTTCTCCTCAATAGGAGTTGGTGATACACAGCACTGTTGGGGGTTGTTTGAGGAATATCCAGTTGGGTGGAGAGGATATTGGTGTAGGGAGGAGGAAGGAGCATGTTAGAAGTTGATAAAGCAAGTGGATGATGGGTAGTGACTAAGGATTCAGAATATTTCAGATAGAGAGGTCTAGATAGGATATTTTAAAATTTGCTTGAAGGAACGAAGAAAATGTTTTAAATACTTTTCACTGATGGGAAAGTGGGTTGATAAAGAATATATTTGTAATCCTGAAAATGAACTTGACTGGTTACTTTGGTTCTAGAATCTCTTTATTTTAGTTACATTAAAGATCATTTTGTTAGAATACTTTTGTTTTGAACCTAGATTTGAATTCATTATAGGAATCAAGTTAGAACAGAAAAGAACCAGAATTAATTAGTGACCAGCAACAAACAAGTCAATAGAAATAGAAACAAAACAGCATTTGACTGTGGATGCCTCCCAAGGGGCTACGTAACTTGAAAGGCAGTTGTTTGTCCTGACACACAGTTACAGGGGAGGAAGCTGAGTAAGGGTTGCAACAGACACATATTTCAGAGCCCTACTCACACCCACTGCTCTGAAACTCTCCAGATCAACTGTGCCTTGTGGGCTACAGAAATGAGGCATATGACTTTATAATGGGAATATAAGCATGACTTAGAGCTAACAGAATCATAACTAACAATAGCTCAGACTTTTTTGGCTTGTCCTGATGCAGCTTCAGAGACTGTTGACAGATCAAAGTGAGATTGAGCCAGCTCATCTGTGTTTTTCTCTCCTTCCTCTTTCCCCTCCCTTTGCCTTTCTCTCACCTTTCCTTCCTCTCCCCTTCTCCCTCCCCTCCTTCCTTTTCCATTTCCTTCCTTCTCTTTATCTCTCCTTCCTTCTTTCTTTCGCTGTCTCTCTCCCTCATTCCCTTCTTTTCTTCCTCATTCTCTCTTTTTTGCCCTCCTCTCCCCTCTCCATCTTTTTATTTCCTTCTTTTTTGGAGCTTAGGAGGTATCAGAGAAGCAAGGCTAGTAACACAACTCATCTCCCTCTCTGACTGAGTGGGTGGATTACCATCATGGTGATATTGAATTTGGGGATATTCTCATCTTTAAAGTTACAATGGTCTTATCTCACAATAGGCTTGTTGTGAGGAGAATTAAATGAAATAATGCACATGAATTGCCTAGCACAGTGTCTATCACATATGTTTGGAAATGATAGTGATAATGGTAGCAATAGTGTAATGGTGGTAGTAATAATGGTAATAATTGTTATGCCCAGATTTGAAGATTCCCAAGAAACCACACCAGGGAGCCAGCCATGTCCGATGCAAAAGCATAAGAGTCTGTATTCGAGCTAGCTCGGCTCCCCCACCTCGCCGACACAGCAGCAGGAAGCAGAGAGGGCGTGGCCTGATAGAACCAGGAGTTTTATAGTAAGGGTGGGAGAGGGGACTGTGGGCCCCGCGGATTGGCCAGGCGCAAGTCGGTGTCTTGTTCCTGGGTGTGGCTAGCAGAGGCTTAGACTTCCGGGAAGCTCCTTGCCAAGCACGTGGCTGCCCCAAAATGGAGGACACAGGGTAAGATGGAGGGCGCAGTCCCTGCCCTTTCAATAATCAAGATTGATATTATTAACAATAATATAAATAGTACCTAATATTAGTAATTATATAATTTAATAATTACTTAATATAATTTTAATATTTATACAGATTTTAATAAGAAAAATGATATTTTGAAATTTTCATCAAGTGCTCTTTTTATTTTAGGAGTATAAATTGGCCCTGTTACAGTGCTATGGAAGATATCTTCAGCAGTTCAGTATCAGCTTTGATGAGAATATAGCAGATATACAACAATTCAAAACTGTCTTTTTTCCAAACGGTATTGGAGACCAAACTGCTGCAAATACAGTAAGATGAAAGCAGCTAAAATAGTTACAAGTTATGATTAGCTATGCAATATATCCTTTTGTTGAGAGCTGCTAAATGTCTTTCCTGTGCTTAGCATAGCATTTACTTGTGTGCTACAAGTTGTTTAATAAATGTTTTCAGTGCTAGATAAGAACGTATACTTATTAGACTTTGCAAAGATGCTTTGGAGATTGTATCACTATAATCACTCATTCATCCAGCAGACAGTTGTCATTATAATAACTTATAATAACTAATATTTGTAGGGTACTTTCAGTTTACAAACTAAAAAGATCTGATCCTCACATTAACTGTCTGAATTAGATACTATTATTATTTTATAAAAGAGAAAAAGAAAGCTAAGCACAGAGCCCAACTATTGGTTCTGGAGATTAGACACAGATCTTCTGATATAAAATTTTATGCTTTATTTCTGGCATACCAGCATTATGTTCATTGTTACCATTGATTCACTGGTTGAACAGTTACCATGTGCTAGGCTCTTCTATATGCAGTATATGAATTGTTATCTTTCAGCCTCATTATAGTCTCAAAAGTAGGGTACTATTATGCCTTTTTTACAGATGAGGAAACTGAGGCTTCTTAGAGACTAAGAAACCAGTCCACTTAAAGCAATGGACAGAGTTGGTGTTTGAACCCTAATCAGTCTGACTCCAAAGCTGTTATTCCAAACTTGATCATTCAAGGCCTTGGAAACATATGTGGTTTAGTAAGCAGAAAATCTCAAAGTATGTTTGTCTATATAATAGGTGCATGAATGGGAATACAGGGCAATATAAGTTGGCACCCCATTGGGGAGAGTACGGAATGAAAAGCTTAGAACTTTGGACTTTTAAGGCCCCTCCTATCCCACTCTGGTCCAGCGCTCTATCTCTCTCTCTCTCTCTCTCTCTCTCTCAATATTGCATTAGCCTGCTTTTACCTTGTCTCCCTGGCTTAGCACCAGTGCGCTTGTGAGCTCCACTGTCTACAAAGCTTGTATCTTAGATATATGTGTGGCTCGTTCTTTACTACCTTCAGGTCTCATGCACTCCCTGCTTTATTTATTTACTTATTTTTGTATCACTTATTGTCACCAGCTACATTTTCATTTGTTTATTTTTTAATAATAATATTACAAAATATAATAGATCCTCAATAAAGCCTTATTGACTGGATGAATAGATGAAGTGATATAGTTAGAATTAGTAGAAGCTGTTCATACTAGTAGGATGATTAGAAGGTAAAAGATTGGAGGCAGAAGGTAAAGCAATGAAGACAACATAAGAGTTTGCCAGCAGGACTGTTGTGATGGGTGCAAATAGGTATGAAGAATCTGTGTTGTTGTTTTTTTTTTTTTAATATATTTTTTATTTCAGAGAGGAAGGGAGAGGGAGAGAGAAACATCAATGATAAGAGAGAATCATTGATCGGCTGCTCCTGCACGCCCCACACTGGGGATTGAGCCCACAACCCGGGCATATGACCTGACTAGGAATCGAACTGTGACTTCCTGGTTCATAGGTTGATGTTCAACCACTGAGTCATGTTGGCCGGGCAAGAATTTGTGGTTTTTTGCATGCTTAATTTAAGGTTCTGGTATGATACTGGCACGCTGCATTTCTTAACAAACATGTATAAAAAAATAAAATAAGTAAGATTGAAAATTTAGTCCAGTAGGAACCTATCAACACAGAACTAAAGGTCTTGAGAAGTTTTGTTAGAGAAATAGATCTTGGATATTAAATGCATAAAGATCACAGATGAATCAATAATAATGAACAATTCACTGTCAAACTATTAAAAGCAAAGTTTTGTGTGAGCATTCATAATCATGTATGTAATATTTAATTATTCCCTTTGTATGTACTACAGGGAGGCATTATGGCAGAGATTACATGGATTTGGTCTCTGGAGCCACACTGCCTGGGTTCAAAGAGCTGCTGTGCCACTGCCTAATGATGGGACCTTGCGATTTCTTTGTGCCTCAGTTTCCTCATCTGTAAAAATGGAAATAATGGCCTACCTCCTAGTGTTGTTTTGAGGTTGCTGAGATAACAAAAGACTTGGAATAGGGCCCAGCACTCTGAAACTGTTAGGTATCATCTGTAAAAGAGAGAGAGCACTTTTTGAAGATAATGATTATTCCAACTTTCATTCAATGAATATCTTCTGTGATACCAACTACATGGTGGCTAGAAATAGTGTACATGTATGCAAGCAGGAAATGCATATGGTAGAAAGGCCCATTGGTATTACTAAGAGGGTCCACCCCCGTAGCTTTAACTAAGGGCTCGTCAGTACTCTCTCCAGAACTCCACATCTATCCAGTTGTGTCTTAGACATCTCAACTTGACATATCCCAAGCTGAACTCATCATCTTTCCTCCATAATTGCCTCCAGCCAGTCACCCATGCAGGAAATCACTGCAGACATCTTCTCCTCCCTTATCTCTTGCATACTATTGGCCACTGAATCCCATTGACTCAGACAAGATTTAAATCTTTCCCCATTTCAGGGCCCTGGAATGTCTGGACTATCTCAGACGCCTCTGATCTCTCCCAGCCTCCCTGCATGTAGCTTTGTGCCCTTCCCTCTGCTTTCCATCTTCCACACTTTTGTCATAATTAATTTCTAAAGTGTAAATCAAATTGTTCTACTCCTCTGCCCTTTGACTTTGCCCTTTGGCTAAAGTCCATATTCCTTGGAATGGCTTGGAACACTCTTCATGTTCGGACTATGAACCACCTCTATAACCTAATCTCTTTATCTTAAACCTTCTTACTTAACCTTTCAAAAGTCTTTCAATCCAGTGACCACTGAAACTACCTTAAGCATTCCTAACATTGCTTGTCTCTGGAATTCTCTTCTTTTTGCCAAGAACAGGGACCACGTCTTCCTCAACTTTGAGTCACTGTTGCTTAGCAGAGTGTGGCAAATTGAGGTGGTCCATAAACATTTGCCAAATCAACGTGTACATGGTAATATTTATACCTGAATTGATACGTTAAAATGCCATTTGGTGAGTTTCCAAAAAAAGATTCAATTCCATATTCTTGGAGATAGGATTTTGTACTTTCTTTTGCTTTTGAATTTTTTTTTTTGATTAAGGAAAGGTAATAATCTTAATTAAATGGATGCTTTGAAGAAACCTATTTTTTATATCTTAATTTGTTAGGGATATTATAAAAATTCATAGACTGGTGGCTTAAACAACAAATTATTTCTAACTTTATGGAGGCAGGGATGGCTTAGCTCAGGGTGCTAGAAAATGTGGTTGTCTGGTGAGAGCCTGCTGTCTGGTTCTCGCTGTGTCCTCAGACGGCAGAAGGCAAGAGGGAGCACTCCGGTGTCTCTTTTAGAAAGGCACTCCTCCCATTTATGAGGGTTTATTCTCATGACCTGATTACCTCCCCAAACCCCACCTTCTAACACCATCACATTGGGGATAGATTTCTGCTTAAGAATTTGGGGAGATACATTCAGTCGATAGCACTATACTAATCTATTAAATTAATTAAGCACAATTGTTTCCATTTTAGTTTTTGTATATTTTAAGGAAAGCTTTTCTAAGTTGCATAAACTTTATTTATATTCACATTTATATTTTCCCATGCGTTTCAGTTTCATGCTTTAAATGGAAGAAATATTTGCAGCTACCAGCTGGTCTGTAACAATGATTTGAACATGCAGAATAAAGAGTCTGTGATCCAGTGTCTGAATATCTTGTCCTCCTTAAGACTCACCATGCAGGTGGCCTTGCCACAGGAGCACCTCTGCTGGATCATCTTCAATGGTATATGCCAATGCATTTTATTTTCCATCATGTTTTTCAGGAAGTTATGTGAATGCCAAGTTTGACGTTAACTTGATTACTTCGTGATTTGAAATATAATTATTTCATAGTAGCATGCTTGTTTTTTTTTATTTTTTACACCTTTATTATATTTCAGTTTGTCCTCATATGCAGGAACTTACAAAGCATGTCTGTGGGGATGATCAGTTTCAGGTATATAGAAAGCAGGGCCCAGAGTTAGTAAATAAATATAAGTGGAGAAGAATCAAAGAACCACTGCAGGTTAGATTGGTTCTAAGCATCATCCATTTATTGGCCCTCTCCTCAAATACTTTGGGCAGTGACTGTGGCTTTCTACATATCAACCTTCTTCTCCAACTTGGTTTTGAGTAATGAGCTTTGGTATGTATATATGTATGTGTATAGTATATTTATATACATATATACTGTATATTTATATTCATATATATACTGTATATTTATATACATATATACATTATATATATGTCTCATGAAATATCATCTATCAAAATGTAGCATTGTCCTGCCCGGGGTGGCTCAGTTGGTTGAGAATTGTTCTATGTACTGAGAGGTCAAAGGTTCAATTCTCCATTAGGACACATGCCTGGGTTGTGGGCTAGCTCCTCAGGAGGAGGTGTGCAGGAGGCAGCCAATTGATTGTTCTTTCTCATTGATGTTTTTCTCTCCCTTTTCCTTCCTCTCTCTTTCTGGAATCCATACACACACACACACACACACACACACACACACACACACGCCTAATATGCAAATTGTCCCCTCTGGAGTTCGACCAGGAGACCAGGAGTTCGATGGCTCACTATGACATGTGCTGACCACCAGGGGGTGGTCACGGAACAAAGGAAGGCCCAGGCTGGCAGCCGGAAGGCCCCAATTGGCACTGATTGCCAGCCAGACCTAGGGACCCTACCTGTGCACAAATTTTGTGCACTGGGCCTCTAGTATATATATATATTAAAGCAGCATTTATTTTTTTTCTCTTTAAAGAGTTACAATTTAAATTTAATTTCTTTTTAAAGTTACAATTAAAAGTTGCAATGAGTCATTTGCTGTTGTTCTGTGAATAACATATTCTCAAAGGGAAAATAATACAGTGTGTTCTCTGTGCATAAGAGTGGGGAAAACTAACTTGAAAGAAAACATATTGGATTTTAGCTCATCTATGGCAATTGAAATACATTTCCTAGCCTTTTCCTTCTTCACCCTCCTCAAATAATTTTTTGACAATTTGATTGAAAATTACATTTGCTGCCAGAGATGAGGCTGACTTTGGAAGAAAGTTTTAAATTCAGTAATTGTCAAGCTTTTGTACTTGATCATCCTCAAGAGGATCTGTTCCCCAGAGTAGCTGCTGCCATCTCTCCACCTGAGTTGGTCATAGGTCTTGGCAGGGACTGAGCAGGAGCAGATGTTCTGTGCTCAGGAAGCATGACAGGCCCATGGTTTGGGTGTTGCAGTCAGGCCTTGCTTTAGTGGTGAAATGATATAGTCCCTGGGTGCTGTCCTTTTAAGAGCACACACAAATATATCCCAGTATTCTTAGGGGGAAAAATAGAGTAAATAATTTCTGTATCTTCTATATCCTTTTATTGGTGTGTGCTTTTTCTTTCCTTTTTAAAAAAAATATGTTTTTATTGATTTCAGAGAGAAAGGGAGAGGGAGAGAGAGAGAGAGAGAGAGAGAGAGAGAGAGAGAGAGAGAGATATCAATGATGAGAAAGAATCACCCATCGGCTGCCTCCTGCATGCCCCCTACTGGGGATCAAGCCTGCAATCTGGGCATGTGCCCTGACTGGCAATTGAACAGTGACTTCCTGGTTCATAGGTCTATGCTCAACCACTGAGCCACACCAGTGGGCTGTGTGTGCCTTTTCTTTACACCGGTGGTATCGTGCTCTAGATTTTATCCTTTTTCTTAAATATTTTTCTGCTCAATATTATGGTTTTAGACTAGCCAGGTTCCTGTGTATAGATCTAGTTCATTGACTCTATTTACAGACTTGTATTCTTGATATCCATAGATTCCTAAGTACAGAACCTGGTTTGCCCTACCTCTATAGCTGCACACATAATTCTGCAATGAATATCCTTGTACATGTCCTTTTATAGACCTGTGTGAGGGTTATCTGGGATCTATGCCCAGGAGTGGGATTGCTGGGAAATATCTATGCCCAGGAGTGGGATTGAGGGAAATATCATAGCTTTTTACTAACTCCAGTCCCTGTTTTAATTAATTCATCCAAAACTTATTGCCAGGCATTGTTCTAGGTACTAGGGACACAAGAGTGGGCAATAGATGAAAACCCTGTTCTCATGGTTACATTCTGCTTCAGGGAGATAATAAACAAAACAAAGTGGTCATGGCAGATTGTGCTACGGAGAAAAGTAAAGCTGAGGAAGAGATAGGGAGAGCCAGACCTGGGCTCTGACTAGGATGCAATTTTAACTTAAAAAAAAATTGATTTCAGAGAGAGGAAAGGAGAAGAGGAGGAAGAAGCATCAATGATGAGAGAGAAACATTGATTGGCTGCCTCCTGCACGCCCCCTACTGGGGATTGAACCTGAAACCCAGGCATGTGTCCTGATTGGGACTCGAACCCTGACCTCCTGGTTCAGGGGTCAACGCTCAACTATTGAGCCACACTGGCTGGGTTAGGCTGCGATTTTAAATAGAATGGACAGGGAAGGCTCAGTGAGATGATACGTGAGCAAAGACCTGAATGAACATCTGAATATTTGGGGAAAAGGCATTCTAACTAGAGGATTAGCAAATGCAAAGATTCTGTAGTTTTAATACTTTGGATTTTAAGTAATAAAAAATAAATTGATTAATCAATTTGTCAAAATACATTTAATTTTTCCAGTTAAAACTGAACACTCATTCTGTTTATTTTAAACTGGTTATTATATGTATAGACACCCTTGGTTTCTTAAGATATGTAACCAATGTTCGACCAGGAGAATTTTATCTTTCATAAAATTCAACTGGGTGTATGAGTATTCTATAACACCTTACTTCTCAACCTGAACCCGACTATTTAAACCTCAAATAGATTATTTTGGTGATGGCCATCTTTGGTGAAAAGGAATCACATGACAAGACAAAAAATTCATAATAGGGATTTGCTCAAAACCAAAACAAAACAAACTTCCAGAGATATCCTGAGGGTATAAAGAATCAGTCTATGTTCCATTCTATACCAGCTCTCGCTCCATCACGCTTCTGCAGTGGGAATTTGTGAACCACACCAAGATCCTGAACCATCTAAGAAGGGATCAGTTCTAGTCAGGATGCTCAAGGGCTGCCAAGGTTAAAGGCACATTTTTGAAATACAGAGGGTCCTTGTCATTCTTGAGGGTAGTTTCCTGAGGCCTCCTGAAATTCCCCAGTTCCTGTCACTAACTTGTTTATACAGGCTCCTAGCTTCCACCTGAATCACATCTTTTGTGGAGAGGCATGCGTTTCCTGTGCATGTCCTTCCTTGGTGACTTTTTTTAAAAAAAACACACAAAGAAACACAGTTATATAGTTTAATTTTTAAGATTAAGAACAGAGGTGGACAAAACCAAATTGAGATAAGAATGCTGGGCTTGCCCGGCTGGCATGGCTCAGTGATTGAGCATCCGACCCAGGAACCAAGAGGTGGTGGGTTCGATTCCTGGTCAGGGCATATGCCTGGGTTGCATAAATTAATCCCCAGTGAGGGTGCGTGCAGGAGGCAGTTGATTTATGATGTTTCTCTCTCATCGATGTTTCTATCTCTCCTTCTCCCTTCTTCTCTCTTTAAAAATCAATCAAAACATATTTTTTTAAAAAAAGAATGTTGGACTTGAGCTGTTACTAGCCAAATGGTTTCTTCCCAGGTGGACCTCACATGAAATAAATAGCTCCGTGTTCTGGGAGCAGTCACAGTAAGAATGCTGAGTCCTGGAATGTTGAGGACTGAAGTGTATGGTGCTATACATATATGTTTAAGATTCTATTCAACATTTTTGTCACTGATTTATGTAATTAATATTTATCATGCTTACAGACATGTTTTAATTAAGCAATGTGTGTCTTAGAGCAGATGCTTAAAGTTTAAATGTGAACATGGGATTCATAATTGTTGAATTTTGATGGTTATGAATTTTAGATCCGATATTTTATAGGACATATGTAGACCACTTGTATTATAATTACATGCCTTTTTAAAGCATGTTGCCACCTTTGGTTATGTTTATAGCATGATAATGTCCTTGTTTATATAGAGATATATGCTTTTCCCCTCCCCTCAACCTTGTGAGCAGCCATTTATCCTCATTTAATTAATGATCAGATAAAAAAAAAGCACACTTGAATGATGTTAAATAGGAGTTGAAAATGCTCTTTATTAGAGTGCTCAAAGGCCATACCGTAATAATAGGATAAATATTATATGAGAGTGAGAATGAATATAATGCAACCTATTATGTGTTATGATTTTAAAATTATTATGTTTCCTTCCATGTTGAGTATTATGCCATGCTGATTAAATATATATTTTAATCTTATTTGGAAATAAATATTCATTTTTTTCAACCATAAGGAAACCATGGGGATCAATAACATTTAATATGAATTACTAAAACCGCAGGGTACATAAATTATGCTACTAAAAATATTCTTTTGTTCAGTATATTTCAAAACTTACACTGCTTTTATAATGAGGCTAAAGATTCCCGTGTCAGCCTATTTAAAGGATGGTCATATTAGTTCTTTTAATGATTTGGATATAAAACAAATTATAATGATTATAACTCTCTAACCATTATCCAACTTTCTCATGAGATTGCTTATTTTTAGAACTACAGACTTAAGCCACAGGAATTAGCATATACAATTTTCATAATTTGACTATAAACCATGTTAACGAGTTTTTCCTCCATTTAGGTACTGTTTACATTTACACCATTTGCAGAAAATTGATGGTTATTGGTCAGTCTTCCAAGGTATGCAATTTACTGACAAAATATCTTCTCCTATATTTCCTATTTTTCTTAAGACTTTTGTTAGCATTGAATGTTAAAGAAAATTTAGTGAATTATGTAATAGCAAAATTTAGTGAATATGTATTATAGATTTACTATTTTTAGTTTTACTTTAATATGATCATAGGTAAAATTGCAGATATTAAAGTATTAATGAAAGAAAAGCATTCTTAAAATTGATAGATATTCTCTGCTGTCCCTTGGTCTCTCAGATTAGCCAAAGTTGTCAACTTGATACTGAACATCCACCTGGTAACTATATCTCTAGGTAGGGTGATCATCCATTCTTGCGTGCTCAGGACAGTTCTGGTTTCTATCTGTAGTCCTGGAGTAATTATTAATAATGCTTGCTTTCGCTCTCAAACGTGTCCTGATTTGAATGATAAACTACAGTTACCCTATTTATATTGTGCGGTGGAGCTTGGATTTCATTTTGCTTGAAGAGGTTGCACTTGACTTATGGCCCACATGCTAGTTAGTGAATGAATAAATGAATGATTGTTAGTGTATTAGGGTTAAAGAACATCTTCACTCTGTTTCAGTCATAACCCAAGGGTAAGAAGACTTCATTTTATAATAAGACTAGAGGCCCGGTGCATGAAATTTATGGATGGGGGTGGGGATCCCTCAGCCCAGCCTGCACCCTCTCCTAAATGGGATTGGGCCTAAACTAGCAGTCGGACATCCCTCTCGCAATCCGTGACTGCTGGCTCCTAACTCCTCACCTGCCTGTCTGCCCAGTTGCCCCTAACCACCTCTGCCTGCCCACCTGATTGCCCCTAACTGCTTCTGCCTGTCGGCCTAATGCCCCTAACAGCTCCCCTGCTGGCCTGATCACCCCTAACCGCCTCTGCCTGCCCACCTGATTGCCCCTAACTGCTTCTGCTTGCCAGCCTGATTGCCCCCTAACCGCCCTCCCCTGCTGGCCTGATCTCCCCCTAACCGTTCCCCCCTGCTGGCCTGATTGCCCCTAACTGCCTCTGCCTCGGCCCCTGCCACCATGCCTTTGTCCAGAAGGACATCCAGAAGATGTCCGGTCTAATTACCATATTACCCTTTTATTAGTATAGATTCCCACTCACCAGTTTTCACTGGTAGGTTTAACTTGAGGTTTCTACTGATTTCCCTACAATGTTGGTAGCACTTTTGTCTCTAGGAGACCTATTTATTCCCTGTATTCATTGTTCAGTCATTAGGACAGTGATGGCAAACCTTTTGAGCTCGGCGTGTCAGCATTTTGAAAAACCCTAACTTAACTCTGGTGCCGTGTCACATATAGAAATTTTTTGATCTTTGAAACCATAGTAAAACAAAGATTTATATTTTTGATATTTATTTTATATATTTAAATGCCATTTAACAAAGAAAAATCAACCAAAAAAATGAGTTCGCGTGTCACCTCTGACACGCATGTCATAGGTTCGCCATCACTGCATTAGGATGTAGGCCAAGAAGGGAGAATATACTTATGTTGAGTCCATATTCAAATGGCATTTGGAACATTACTACTTTATTTTTTATCACATGCAAAGCCTTACCCTGAATGTTCTAACACTCAGGATAGATACTTTTTTTTTCTTATTTTCTCCAAACATAACCAAGTATCTTAAAAGTCAATAACACTTAAAATGGAAGGAAGGATATTTGCATGCTTAACGGAAAACAATTTTGAAATCGCTCTCTGTTTTGTTCCTCGAGTTTAAAAGCTCTATTGCTGACAGTGATTTGAACAAGACAGTGCCAGCTCTTTGAGTGCGAATTAAAATGAGGGGAGACTGTCCCATGCATAATGGAAATTTGGCTAGAGACTATTCCAGTGATTCTACATTTAGTTCCAGCTGATTTCCTGAAAAGAACTTGCATATTCCTTTAGCCCTTGCTGTAGCAACAAACACTGCTTCACAGAACCACCATAGTTTGGTTGCTACAGCATTTGTCTGCCAGCTCTTTGAAGGGCAGAGATGTCTGTGCCAAAATTTAACTGTTCGTGTTTGTACTTGTTAACTCGGAGAGAATTTTAATATGATAGTTGTTTTAAAATAATTTCTTATTAAACTCTACCTAAGACATCTCTTCTCCCCCTCATAGAACTTGAATTTCTTTCTGACAAAATAAGGGCTGAAGGAGAATAGTTCTGTGGTCCCAGTCTTGTGGGATGGGAGTGAGGAGGGGAAGGGCGGGGGAAAGGAGGTGTGTGTGCAAGAATTTTGGAGTGGTGGATGGTTGCACAGTTGGCATTTGAAGGTTGGGATAAAATTCATTCAGTTTTTCAATATAATAAGTTCCAAGGAAATTAAAAATTTTCACCCAGAAATTTCTAAACCTTCAGCTGGTGAGTTTATTCCTTGGCGGGGGAGGTAGGGAGTAGCAGGGAACCAACCATATCTGTGCCTTCTCTGGTCTGAGGGACCCTGATTCTGTAGCTATTTTAGAGTTCAACTCTATTATAGCTTGAGACAAAAGAAGAAATAGATATGATAGCCTCAGGCTTTTGTTGGTATAACCCCAGAGAAATATAAACCCCTATCACTGTAAGATCCAGGCATCATTGCTACCATTTGTTATTATTGAATCCCTACTATGTGTTAGGTATTAGGTGGAAAGCTTTGTGTACATAATAACACTCATTTATAGCCTTAAGTCTTATGAGGTTGGCACTGTCATCATCACCATCACCATTATCATCACCATCATCATTTGTGGGATTAATGCCTACCATTTATTAGGTAGGCTTCTAAGCACTTTCATATATTATCTCACTTTCTAATATTATCCGTATACCAAAAATTTGAGAAAGGTACTGTTATTGCTTTCATCTTATAGATGAAGAAGCGAAGGTTCAGAAAGGTTAATTTGCTCAATGTTGAACATCTAGTTAAGTGTAGCCGAGGCCAGAGCGAATGCCTCATTGCACTGCCTCTCAACACCATTAGACTAAATTTCTTCCCTCACGACCCATCCTATTTTGGCTCACTTACTCAAATAGAGAAGCAATATGGGAGGGGTTGGTATGTTTTGACCTCCCACTGTATTCTTGAAGACACCCTGGAGACCAAGACTGGATAGGGGTTCTTCCCAGATGGAAAATACTTTTGTGTTGAGGGAAGTTACCAAGCTTAAGCTTGTATTCAATCGAATGAAATCTATCTACCCTTTTGAGGGAGGGCAGATTTCTGAAATCTTTTTTCCCAAAGATATATATTACAACTTTGCTTTCATTTATGGTATAATTTGTAATTTCTTCTAAGGCATTTAAAACTGTAGTATAATACTCATCAAGCATTAAAGAATATAGTAGAATCTATTCATTCTAAGAAAATGTTGATTTATGTTTCATTTATAAAGTTATTGGCTTGACCAATAATTGTCAAATTATTCCACATTCCATTACATAAACTTCAAATCCAACTTTGAAATGCTCAGTGTTGTTCCCTCAAAGGCTGATATAAATGATGCTGCAGTGCCCTCCTGTGGCTGAACTGATTAATGGTGTGTGTATCTTCCTGGGATTTGGTTTTTCTTCTTTTTCCTTCTCTGCTCCCTCCTCCTCCTCCTCCTCCTCCTCCTCCTCCTCCTCCTCCTCCTCCTCCTCCTCCTCCTCTTCCTCCCCTCCTCCGCCACCTCCTCCTCCTCCTCGTTCTTTAAAAAAGTTTTTTAAAATTGATTTCAAAGAGGAAGGGAGAGGGAGAGAGAGATAGAAACATCAATGATGAGAGAGAATCATTGATTGGCTGCCTCCTGCACGCCCCACACTGGGGATCAAACCCACAATCCAGGCATGTGCCCTGACCGGAATGGAACCATGACCTCCTGGTTCATAGATCAACGCTCAACCACTGAGCCATGCTAGCTGGGCTTTTTCATTTTTATTTTATTTTTGATATCTTAAACTTTTTAATATAGAAACATTGCCAAAACAACAATACCTCTTCCACCAACAGTGTTTTGGCCCATGCTTTTACCAACACGACATTAACAGTCTCTTCAACCTTTGATATCTGATGTATTAAAAACAAATGGGATTTCATTGTTTCAATTTGGATCTCCCTGGTTGTGATGTAAGCATTTAAAATAGTTTTCAATTTCCTTTTTAATTTTATTATTTCTTTTAATTTTCTTTTGATAATATGTATTTAGGTTTTTAAAATAAGGACACTTTATTTTAAAATTTTAATTTGGTTTTTCAAAGTTTGTTTTTTCTATGAAGAGAACAGTCCTACTTTAGACTCATCAACTTTTAAAATTAATACAAGTAAATTAATTTCATTTCCTCTTCCTTCTGCTTCTGTTCCTCCTGTTTCTCCAACTTCTCCTGTTCCCCTTCCTCCTCCTCTGTCTTTATTGTCATTACCAAAGCTAACACTTACATTTACTATGTCCTAAGCATTTAGTGTATAGTAATTTATTAGATATTCAGACAATCCTAATTACTGTTATACCAATATGGATGAGGAACCTGAGGCACATGGAGTGTAAGTGAATTGTCCAAGGTAACATTGCTAGTAGTGGAGGTAGAGTTTCAGCCTTACAGGGCAGGTGAAGAAGAGAACAGAGTGAGCAAAGACACATGTATTTGGATCGCTGAGGTGTGTTTTGTGGAATGGAAAGCATTTTGGACCAGCTTTAAGTATATGATGCAAGGTCAAGAGTAAATGGGGTGTGGAGGAAGGCAGGAATTGTCTTTCCATGCCCTGTAAGAGGCCTGTACTTTATCATATACTCAATAGAGAACAATTGAAGTGTTCCAAGCACAAGAGTGGCACAACCCAGTCTGCATGTTAAAGAGATAACTATGGTGGAGGTAAGGAAGATGTATAAGGAAGGGGCTTATAAGAAGAGCGATGGTGAGACCAGGGAGACAAGTGAGGGTGTATCCAATAGCCCAGGAAGATGTATGAGGACCTGCTTGGTTAAGGCTGATATTCCCATGGATATAATTTAGAATTTAATATTCTGAGATATTTAGCTCCCAGATTCTTATTTTCATCCCAGTAATATTTTTTTATGACAATATGTGGAATACAGACCAAATTTATTCTTGTATTCAATCAAATGAAAGGCTATATAATCTAATTACCCTTTGAGCTTTTGGAATATTTTTAATTATTTTATTGATTTCATAGAGGAAAGGAGAGGGAGAGATAGAAACATCAATGATGAGAGGGACTCGTTGATTGGCTGCCTCCTGCATGCTGCCTACTGAGGATCAAGCCTGCAACCCAGGCATGTGCCCTGGACTGGAATCGAACCCAGGACCCTTCAGTCCGCAGGCCGACGCTCTATCCACTGAGCCGAACCAGCTAGGGCTAGAATATTTTTGAGGAAAGGAAAAAGACTGAAAAAGTTAACTGCAGAATACATGTAGTCAAATAGTGTTTCCCAGGATAGGGTTTATGGGAAGGACATGTTAAAAAATAATTATCAATAGATTTGTGGGGAAAAGTCACTCAGGTACAATAGCACAAGAGGTTCTTCCATATATTCCTACAGACAGACAAATAGCAATGATGACCCTTTCCCCATAATTTTATTTCACATTATACCTTGGGAATAATTATACTGGAAATAGGCGTTATTTATGGAGTGTGCCAAATACCATCCTAGCATGCCATGTATATTGTCTCCTCCACAACAGAACTACGGTGATGTGCCAAAATACCCATTTTAAAGATGAGAAAGTTGAGGTCTGGAGAGGTAAAATGACACAGCTACTAGGTGATAAATTTGGGCCTGAACTCCAGATCTATTTTAATCTTCAACTGTTTCTACTAAGTATCACAGGCTTCAGACTGTAAGCCTTTTTCATTTTCCCTATCCTGCTATACCCGTTTATTTTCAAAATAAGACATTGGTTCCAGACCAGCTAATAAAAATTTTATTGTTGGAGGTAGTTCCTGTACTATTGTTGACACTTGATACATATTAATAAAAATGAGCTGAGTTCATAGGACTTTAGGAGCTAAGAAGGAAGACATTCTAAGATGGTTAACTTGAAGTTTTGCGTTCTTTAAATTATTCTTTTACTTTTTAAATGCTTGTGTTTTCTTGACTCATTATTTTTGGTTTGAGTATTCAGCAGCAACTTGTTTCAGAACCTATAATTTGATTAGATCAAATAAAAAGAACAATTATTGACTTAATATGAAAATTTATTCAATTATACTCTTTCTTTCTAAGGCCTTAGAGTATCTCCTGTGGGCCAGTGTGTGTATGGAGTCCTCGGTCCCACTCCTGTCCATCAGGTACTTGACATGGCGAGTTACTCTTTACACTGCGGTCTGCCAGTGCTACTATGACTGCCAAGCTGCTATCCATGGAGAGGTATGCTACTTTTTAATTTAGAGGATTTCAATATTTTAGAATATAACGTATGCAGCATTTTCTTCTTTAGAAGTCTGGCAAGATTGAAACAGACACAAACAAACAAAACCCCCAAAATTGAAATGAAGCAAAGAAAAAGTCCCAGGCTTAATTTGCAGGAATTTGCTTGGCTTCTCCATTCTGTTATCTCTTTGCTCTACTTTCTTCTCTCTCCTTTATTTTCTACTAGAGGCCCAGTGCACGAATTTGTGCACAGGTGGGGTCCAGCTAGCCCGGCCCCAATTGGGATGGATCAGGGCTGGGCCTGTCGGGAGGAGGAGATGGCAGGAGGTTGGCTGGACAGCCTGCCCCCATCAGGGCCCAATCAGGGCCGGGCCAGCTGGGGGAAGGAGCTGTAGGCGATTGGCCAGCGGACCCCATCCCCGATTGGGGTTGGGGGTCCGATTGGGGGCAGGGCTAGCCATGGGGAGGGGCTGTGGGTGGTGGACCGGCTGACTCTACCCCCAAATGGGGTGGGGGGTTCCGATCAGGGTCTAGCGGCCTGGGGAAGGGGCCATGGGTCGTTGGCCAGCAGGCCTTGCCCCTGATGGGGTGAGGGATCGATCTAGGGTGGGACTGGCAGGGGGAGGGGCTTCGGGCCGATCAGGGTGGTAGGGGCCCATTGGGGGCGTGGCTAGCCAGGGGGAGGGGCTGAAGGAGGTTGGCTGGCCATCCCTGCCCCCTGTTGGGGTGGGGTAGTGCAACCCACTCTTGGCTCTTGATTAGGGTGGGAGAGTCTGATCAGGGGCAGGCCGGCTGGCCCCACCCCCTGATTGGCCCGGTTGGCTGGCCACAGTAGGCATCACAGCGACCGGTCATTATGGTCGTTATGGCTGTTAAGGTCACTGGCTTTTTATATATATAGATTCACTTCCACCTTCTTTGCTGCTCTTCTGAATAAGATTTCCGATATCTTTCCTTCCTCATTGTATTCTTCTATGCAATTTGCCTCCTCCCTTATTTAGTTTTCTTTTTTTTTACATTCAATATTATTTTGTATTAGGAAGGTGCTGAAAATACCTATATCAGAATTTTACTTTCCTTATTTTTAAAATTTATTATTTCATAAAGTGAGCATATCTGACAGTTTATTAACTTTAGATCTACATAATTTAGTGGTGCTTATAGGAAATGACAGACTGGATAGCTACTGTGTTATAGAGAGTTAGTATAGCCTAGAGTTTAATTCACCAACTAAGTCCAATGTATGGGAGAATGAAACATACACTTGATACATTTTTATCAAATGTCTTGATATATTTTTAATCACTACTCTCTTATTAATTGTGAATTAAATTTATTTTAATTACATATAGACATTTGCTCGGCGTGGTTTAGCTAAAATTGATGAATTAAGGCAACTGGAATTAATGGGCTCCTCACAACCACCAGAAGCATCCAGGAGATATTATAGGGAGGCCACGATAAAGGTATCAAAATTTCACGAAATAAAAGAAATGTACTGCACTCTGTAGTTGATGAGATACTTTATGTTAGTGGTGGCATCCCACTGTTACTTCACACATGATTCTTCTCTTTGAGGCAGATGGCAGTGATGATCTTCAAAAGAGCAGTATTTGAATCGAGAAGAAAAAACAGAAGTTTCTTTAGACCCAAAGTAAGAGTTAACTTAAAGGAAGTACAAGCTGTAAGTAAGAATGTCTTTTCTTTTTCAGTCTCTTTTTGTGGAATATTTGTGTTATATACCTCTGTATCTTAAGCCCTGCATCTTACTAGTATTCTCTGCACCAATGGCAAATAAAGAGAAGAATGCCTTCCCAGTGTGGGCACGACGTCACTTCATCCCTTTCTCAAAGCTTTTGTACCTTCGCACAGTCCCAGTTTTGTGACTTTAAAGGGCAAGAGGCTGAAGAAGATCCTGGGAGAGGTTCAGACTCACAGGCCTCGGAGTGGTTCTGCAGAAGCCCTTGTCTTGGGCTGCTCATGTCAGAAGGCTTGGAGGTTGGGGAGAAGGTGGAAGCACCTCTTCTCATCCGCTTCAGTTTCACCTTTGGGAGCGTTTAAGAACTAGGTTATAGTGTGGCAACAAACAGCCCCATGTCTTAGAGGCTTATCACAAGCCTTTATTTCCTGCTGCAATCAAGTGGTAACTGCTCATGACTGCGGCTCAGGGCCAGATTGAGGAGCCATCCTCATTGAGAAAATTGCTGGTTATTCAGTCGGAGGGGATATAAGAGAGCTTTGGAGGACCTCACACAGGCAGTAATGCCCAGCATGGAACTGACAGCAGTTTCTGCTTTTCACATATCAAACCTGGTCACAGGGCCCCTTCCAGCCACAAGGGTATTTGGCCAACAGCGCTAAGGGCTATCACAGGAGGGGCCTGGGACCTAGTGATGCCTGTGGGGTCCTCTGCCTTTTCTCCCTCCTGCCCTTTTCCTTCTCCCACTGTCTTCCCCTTTGCCTTTGGGCATTTCAGTATTCCTTAAGGCCAGTTCTGTGTTTATTTGAAGCCTTCCCTGACTGTTGTGGTGGTCATAAATTCTCTTGTGCGAGTTTCTTTGCAGGGACTGAAAATGGCGGGAAGGGGGAGGACGATGAGCAGTTTCTGACAGAAGAGTGGTAGAATCTTAGGGTCTGGAAGAGATTCTAGAAAGCATGTGGTTCAGTCCCTGTCTATTACAGATGGGGAAATAAATCCCAGAGTATGTAAATTACTGGCTCAAGGTCATGAGGCCGCTGCTGGCAGCACTGGGACTAGAACCCAGGTCTCTAATCCAGTACTTTCTCACTACTGCAGCGAGTGCTGTTCTCTTAAGTCATTTCTTCTTGTAACATTTAGCAGTGATTCTTCCTTTATAAAGTTTTAAATAAATTAATATATAAATCCAGATTTTATTTGGACATTGTAGCTGTCTATTGCTACTTGACCAATGATATATTGATGACTGAGCCCAGAAGTATATTTCATATTGCCTTTTAAAATAATATCCCTTACCAACCAGTGATGTATAATTGGAGGGGGGTGGGTGGTAGATAACTTGCCAAATGATAATTTCATGGATGAGCTGCTGAACTGCCTGCATCTGGTATTGTTAAGTAGTAATGCTATCGTGTTTGTAAGAGAGCAGGGGATAATTCTTTTTTTTTTCTCAATAGCATTTTTCTTTTCCTCTGAGCAAACCAAATTTAAGTTTTCAAAGCTGCAAGATTGTTACTAATTAGCATATTATTAGGACTCAATTTATAATCATCCTGGTATAAAAATAAAATCTATTTTCAAAGAAAAATGTTTAAAATTCTAGATAACATTACATTAAAATCATTTATTCCTGGTTTCCTTTAAGATAATTATTATATGGAAAGTTCTGATGGTATATCTTTTTAGGAAAAAATTATAATTGTTTAGTGGGTGCTTTTTATAGACAATAGTCAGCATAACCCTTTTTATAAAGTCATAGTATATTATCTTGACATAGTTTGCATAATGTCCTGCTTTATGTGTACAAAATAATTGTATTGTGTTTCCTATAAGAGAAAGTAATCTCAATATGCATTACATTTATTTTATAAAACAGTTTTGAGTTTGTAAGTCAGTTAATAACTCACAGTAAATCATTTTGTCTTTCAAAAGATTCTTTTAAAGGACTACTAATTCAGACTTCTAATGATTGACACTTTAGTGATTCATTCAATAAATATGTTTTAAAATACCTGCTGTGTAAATTAGATAGTTTACATTCTAGTGGAAAATTACACAACAAATAAAATAATTGTAGTTCATCATAAGTAATATGGAGGAAATAATGGTAGTGATCGAATGAGATATAGATAAAGCCCTTAGAATGTTCCTGGCACATAGTAGGTCCTCAGTACATATTAGCTGCTGCCTTTATTTACTTATTTATTTGCCTTAAAATAATTGATTTCAGAAAGAGGAAGGGCGAGGGAGAGAGGGATAAGACCATTGATAATGAGAGAGAATTATTGATTGGCTGCCTCCTGCATACCCCCTACTGAGGATCAAGCCTGCAATCTGGGCATGTGCCCTGACTAGGATTCGAACTGTGACTTCCTTGATATATATTACCAAATTAATTTCCAAAAAGGAGTTCTCCAGGGTGACAACCTGCATGTACCAATTTTGCCACAAGCTATTACCATTTTGATATTATCAGGTTTTTATAATTCAGTTTTATAAAATGGTTTTTAAAATTTTATTTTTCAGATTCACCTTTTCCTTATATTTGTGTTTACTCTTTGTTTTCTTTTTTTGGTGAATTATCTTTCAGTCTTTGAAAGATAATCTTATCTTTCTACTAGAGATTTTAATTTTTAAAATATACTTGAATGAGCTCGTTGTTTTTTAAAAAAATATATTTTATTGATTTTTTACAGAGAGGAGGGGAGAGGGATAGAGAGTTAGAAACATCGATGAGAGAGAAACATCGATCAGCTGCCTCCTGCATACCCCCCACTGGGGATGTGCCCGCAACCAAGGTACATGCCCTTGACTGGAATCGAACCTGGGACCCTTGAGTCCACAGGCCGACGCTCCATCCACTGAGCCAAACCAGCCAGGGCTCGTTGTTTTTATAGATGATAATATTTTGCTTGTCATGCTTGACAGTCCATTTTTTATTACTTTGACTTTAAATCTTTTTTATAGATCTTTTTTTAAAAAGTATGTTTTTATTGAATTTTAGAGATAGTGGAAGAGGAATAGAGAGCTAGAAATATTGATGAGGGCAAACATCGACTGGTTGCCTCCTGCACATTCCTTCCTGGGGATTGAGCCTGCAACCCAGGCCTATGCCCTGACTGGGAATCAAACCAGTGACTCTTGGTTCATGGGTTGATCCTCAACTACTGAGTCATACCTGCTGGGCAGAACTTCTAAATATTTATATTTTAAAATCCTTTACTTGGTGTTCATATATTGCTCTGATAAATTTTCTATTCTTTTTGCTAATTTTCCTATGATATTAAAAACACACACACACAAGTTCACTATAATCTATTGGGGTTTTATTCCTGCTTTTGTTTTTTGTCTTTCTGACTTTGCTCCAAGAAGAGGAAAGTAACAAAGGAATCATGGGGGAAATGACAGTATGTTCTAACTTGACATGGATTCTAGGAAAGCCAGCTAGAGCTGCTTTTTTTATTTCCTGGTAATCTAAATACAGAGAACAGGTAATTTGTCAGAGAGGATACAGTGCAGAGGCAAGCCATCTGCAAGAGGTGAAATCATCCTGGGCTGATACAAAGCAGAGTGGCCGGGGATTCACACAGGGCTCACACAATCACTAGCTTATTAGCACACAGCTGCTCAACTTTTCTTTAGAGTTAACTAACATAAGACCAGTTATTTATGCTATGAAATATTGTTTCAAATTTGGGCTTGAGGACCCTGCACCAGATTTTCCTGCAGTGCTTATTAAAAATGTCCCACACAGGCCCCCTGAACCTCGAGATGTGGTCTGTGGATCTAAAAGCACTCCTGAGGGATTCTTAGGCAACCAAAGTTTGAGTATCAGTTCCTAAAGGCTGTAGTTAAGGTACCACAAAGCATATGGAGATTGATGTTGCCCTAATAAAAAGATAGTAATACAGAGCTGTTTTATGCTGCTTGGAAATGCAAGCATATAAAGAAATAGCAAAGTCTTTGATGTAATGGCAACATGACATAAACCTTAATGGAGTCTGGAGTAACACCTCAAAAGATGAAAATCATAAAAGCAGCCATCTCATTGACAGGCCAACCACTCTCCTTTTAGCATTAATTAAGCATATTTTACTTATCTTTGCCTAATAATATCAGACATTATAGAATTTTTTTTTTAAATTACAGTTGCCATGGCCACGTACTATCACAGAACGGTTGTTGGATGAGATGTTTGATAGCACTGCATCCCGGTTTCTGGCTGTCTTAGAAGCTCTTTCTGATTCAAATAGGCGAACACTGCAAACTGGACCCATTGCTACAGATGAAGTAGAAATTCGTGATGTCGTCTCAGAACTGTTTTTGGCAGGAAGAGAACTTTTAATAAGTAAATAACTTGTTAAGATAATATTTTATTGTAGAACAGGAGTAAGAGAAGTTTTTGGTGTGGTAGTTCATACATAAGCTCATATCCAATTTTTATTGATCTTGAATTTATTAAACCTGTTAAACTCAATGGGTAGTTCAAATAACAGTAGATTTTCTTTTAGATTTTATATATATATATATAATCATTCTGTCAATAATGTCAATTATATTTCTTTCTAATTCTTAAGATTTTAATTTATTTTTTCATATATTTCTTGATTTATTACACTGGATAGGAACTCCAATAAAACATGGAATGAAAGTGGTAATAGCAGTTGCCCTGGCTGGTGTGGCACAGTTTGGATAGAGCAAATATATTAAGGTTTTCTCCTCATCCTTACTCCCCCTTTTGACTGCTTCTTTTTTTTTCAATGCCTTTGATGGTAATAGTTTGGGTGATGACATAATTTGCCATCCAAACTATTTTTTTAATTAATTATTTTTAAATTAAAAATTTTAAATGTTGACATTATTTCAGCCTTTCCCAATCCCCCCCTCCTGTCTTTGCCCACCTCTACCTACCCCTGCCTCCCCCTCGTTTGGCCTTCACCACACTATTGTCTGTGTCCATGGGATATGCATGTATGTTCTTTAGCTAATCCCTTCAACTTCTTGATCCAGTCACCCTTCCTCAGCATTCCCTTGGGCACTGTCAGTCTGTTTCCCATGCTTTGCTTACATTTTGTTCATCAGTTTATTTTGTTTATTAGATTCCACATATTAATGAGATCATATGACATTTGCCTTCTTCTGATTGGCTAATTTCACTTATCCTAATACTCTCCAGGTCCATCCATGCTAAGGGTAAGAGTTCCTTTTTTTTGTATAATTTTTATTGATTTCAGAGAGGAATGGGGAGAGAGGGAGAGAGGGAGAGAGGGAGAGAGGGAGAGAGGGAGAGAGAGAAGTAGAAACATCAACAATGAGAAAGAATCATTGATTGGCTGTCTCCTGCATGTCCCACACTGGGGATTGAGCCTACAATCTGGGCATGTGCCCTGACCAGGAATTGAACTGTGACTTCATCGTTAATAGGTCAATGCTCAACCACTGAGCTATGCTGGTGGGGCAAGAGTTGCTTCTTTTTTACAGCTGTGTGGTATTCCATTGTATAAATGTACCATAGTTTTTTTAAATCCAGTCATCTGCTTCTTTATAAATTAATTTCTTTTTGCTCAAATACAAACTCTGAGAACTTTAAAATAGTTTTGCCAGATATGATATTTTGCTTAAAAGTTTGTTTCTTTAAAAAATTTAAAGACATTTCTCCATAGTTTTGCATATAGAGTTGAGAAGTCTGTGTGTTTAAATCCTGTTATTTTATAGATGTGGTTTTACATCTTTCTCTTTTCTATTATGTTTTTACATTTCATTATACTGGGTCTAGGGGTCGTATTAGTGTTACAGGAGGTACTTTGATCTCTTACATCTTTAATTTTTCATGTTACTTCTTCATTCTTTTCATTATGTTTACCTTTCTTAATTCTCCAAGGTCCTAATAGACAGATGTTAACACATTCCCTTTCCATACTTATTTATTTTATTATTTTCATTTTTATTCCTTTACACTGCCTTCTGAGAAGCTTTCTCAATCTGATTTTCTACATCACTAATTTGTTCTTTGATTCTCGCTGTTCCATTCCATCCATCTATTGAAGTCTTTGTTTCAATAATAATATAGTTTATACCAAATATCCATTTGATTCTCTTTTTACAGCCGTTTATTCTTGCTTCATGTTCCTAATATTCTCTTATTTCCTTAAGTCGTTCCCTCTGTTCCATTTTTATGCTTCCTCTGGTAAAGGATGTTGTTGTCTGTGGTCTTTGTTTAAAGGCATTTGTACTTATAATTTTCTTTGCTTATGAACTTAGCTTCTGTTGCTTTGGAACACCAGCTGATTTGGCGATAATGTCCACCTGGAAGGAGCGGTGAAAGCTAAGGCCCCAACCTTAGTTTGTGTACTTCTAAGTGAGCTTAGGATGTGTGTGTGTGTGTACTTGTGTGCACATGCCCACGTTAGGGCAGGGAGCCTCTGTGCCACAGTTTGGGCTCATCTCAAGGAAAATACAAGATCTCAGATGACAACTCCCTTGACCTCACTCACCCAGACATGAAAATTTGCCTTCATCTGTACCCATCATTTCCACTGCCTCTTATTAAAATGCAAGGGATGTTTCTTCTCTCCCTCTTTAGGTCTTTAAACCTAATCTTTCCAAATGGTTCCTTCATGTTCCCTTTCAACTTCCTCCCTGTATTTCTTCTTCCTGTTATGGTCAGATTTATTAGAGAAATGGTCTATTTTCACTGTCCCCAGTTTTTTCTTCCTACATGTATATAAGCCGTCTTCTGTCCCCAGCACTCTACTGAGAATGCCATGACAACCTTATTGCTCAGTGCAAGGTCACCTTTCAGTGCATTTTCCCCTTCAGTATTTGTTGCAGTTGATTAGTCCTTTCTCTCTAAACCTTCTTCTTTGCTGCCTTTTGCCTCCCTTCTCTTTCATGTTGGTGTTCTTTACTGTTCTGTCCTAGGCAGCTGTCCATTGTCCATGACTGATCCTGTCATTTACTGTGGATAAATCATGATGACTGTACAAGCTGTATTCCTATTTTAAATCTCTTTCCTGAACTTTCAGTCTGTAGTACCTAGCTGCCTATTTGACTAGTTAACTTTACTAATTCTCTATATTTGACATTCCTTCACCACTCTCATACCTTAATCCTTGTGTTTGATGTCCTTCCAATTTGTCCCCACAGCACCCTGAATTATTTCTTGCCCCCCGCTTCCCCATAGAGTGTAAGCTCTGTGAAGGCCTGGATTGTGTGTTTTTTCCATTGTTTCCCTAGTGCCTGGCAGTGTCTGATAGTTAATATTTAGTAAATACTTCTTTGCATGAATGACATTCCAACCTCTCTTTCCTTTCCTAGTGTCCAATACTGCTGTAGATGGAATGCTTAGTTTTCCAAAAACGTCCCTTCTGCAATTTATTATAGAAAGAAAAAATATTATCTCTATCGATACTGCTGTGAAATTTACAAAATTAGCTTTTAACTATGAGGAATGGAGCTTATTTGAATCAGCAGCTGGACAGCTTATTGATTTTCTCCAGGTAATATGTGCAAAATCATTCATTTGTTTTTATATTGTTAAGATGACATTGAATTGCTAATTACTGTGTGTATGTGTGTGGGGGGTATACTTCACTTAGACACAGGATGACCCAGAGTCAAAGAAAGCAGAGAAGGATTTAACTCTTCTTTTTGCAATGGAACCTCTAGTCAATATAAAGAGGAACAAAGGTTTGGTCTTCCCTTTGGAAAACTACAAAGAAGGACAGGCAGCCTATTATGTTAAAAAGAATGCTTTTCCCGGTGAGTATTTATTTGCCTTTTTGAAATATTAAGATAATTTTATCTGATAAAACATGCACTTTAAGAATGAGGTGAGAGAATGTTCAAGGCAGCAGGGTAGGAAGTACAAAGGTCCTGAGGTGAGAGTGTGCTTGGTCGTTGAAGAAACAGCAAGGAGGTACGTGTGTCTGGAGTGCACTGGTGGTGGCCGTGGAATTTGAAAATGTGAGGCAATGAGGTCAGAGGCATAGCTGGGTTCCAGATCTTGCAGCATCCTAGACCTTGTAAGGATGGTGGATTTTATTCTGAGTGGTAGGTTTTGAGTAGCAGAAGGAGGTTCTACTTAGCGATTGCCTTGGTTGGTAGGTGAGAGACCAGCAGGGCAGTAGAGCAAAAGCCATTAGTTTGGTAAGGGAAATATACATGCAGAGTTTTCCAAGTCTTCAAAGTTATTGTTTATATAATTGAAAATCTGCAGCCTCTATTTTTTTAGACCAATGAGAATTATTTAATCCCATTTTTTTATGGTTTATCATGTTCTTAAGGCATTGTGTGGCTGCTCAGTTGTGGTAAATAATTTGTACCAAGTAATGGTACACTTTTTTTCTAGTGGTTTCTGAATAGATATTTTTGTTATTTTTATTTCAATTGCCATATATGTTTTAATATTATAAGCTTCTTTACTTCCATAGTCACCATACAGATTGTAGATTCATGATGATGATGATGATGATGACGATGATAATAGTCAATTTTAATTGAATAACAGCCCAGTTTGATTAGTTTTCATATAGAAGCATCTAAACTCAACCTTCCTAATGCTGCGACCCTTTAATACAGTTCCTCATGTTGTGGTGACCCCCAATCATAAAATTATTTTAGTTGCTACTTCATAACTGTAATTTTGCTAATGTATGAATTGTAATGTAAATATCTGATATGCAGGATGTATTTTCAGGGGTCGCGACCCACAGGTTGAGAACTGTTAAGTGTCTTATTGATATAGTATTTGCCTAGATATCAGTTGTATCATTTTTGTAGAATTTCTATGTTTCTGTGCTTTTTCTATTTGAAATTTTATAATTGATTTTTGTTTTATTTTCCTTTACTTTATGAATTGAGATACTTATATGAAGAATTCTGGATTTTCAGATGATGTTTTCCATTTAGGAGCAGCCTTGTATTCCTGTGTCTGCAACTCTTCCCAGGTGAAATAGCTATTTGGGTAATTTTTAATAGTATCAAAGGAGGCTATTATATCTAATTTAAAGTGAGAGTTAAATCTCACAGGACTTGAACCTTTCCAAAATTCTATATATTTTTAAATCTTTATAATAAGATATTTTTATCCTGACATAATTTTGAGTCTCTTTTTATTATGGTCATCATTTTGGATGTCAATCTGTTTCTTTTTCGGGAAATTTTTAGACTTCCTATATCCTATATAATAAAAGGCTAATATGCAAATTGACTGAACAGCAGAAGGACTGGTTGCTATGATGTGCACTGACCATCAGGGGGCAGATGCTCAATGCAGGAGCTGCCCCCTGGTGGTCAGTACGCTCCCACAGGGGGAGTGCCGCTCAGCCAGAAGCCGGGTGAGTGCAGTGGCAGTGGCGGGAGCCTCTCCTGCCTCCGTAGCAGTCGGACATCCCCCAAGGGCTCCAGGACTGTGAGAGGGTGCAGGCCGGGCTGAGGGATGCCCCCCCACCCAGGGCACGAATTTTGTGCACCAGACCTCTAGTTTCTAATAATGAAGGAAATTAGTGTTTTTAATGAAGAGTTTATATTCTTGGTAACACACTGCTTTTCAGTTCCTGAGTACAAAGCCTGGTTATCATCTGGAATCACTTTACATACCGTGGCCAGTGTTTAGAAATGACCTGTTCATGGGTATGAATGTTTAAATAAAAAATAGTACAGTACTGGTTTTAACACTGAATTTCAGGATCTCCAGGCCTTCTCTGCAGTTCCGCGGGAGCCCAGATATGGGTAGTAATATCATGGCCTGTTTTAATTAGTTGAGATTCTGATGGAATTTTATTTGGAAAATTTGATTTTACTGTTATAAAAAAGTTTGAAAACCACAATTATAGAGCGTTTTATTAACTTTTGTTCAGGTAAGTGAAACAGTGAGGGACTTGAGATGATCTACTGTTATAGTATTTTCTATTTCTTCTGGGTTTATTAGATTAGGTTATAACCTGCGACAGGTTAATTTTTGAAAGAAAGATATTTGGTAGCAAATATAAAGATTATAGTGAGAGAGCTAAACCCAAAAGTTTTAAACAAGGCTGAAAAGAACAAGGAATTTTTATCTGTCTGCTTTTAAAAAAATCATGCCCATTTTGGTTCAGTTCAGTTCAATTCAATCAATACTTATCTATCTCTGTTATGTACCCAAACACTGTACTAAGGTGATACATATACAAATTAATCTTAGAGCTTCCCCAAAGGAGCTCAGTTTTGTGTTTTAATCATAAAATCGTTATCTTTCTAGTTCAGATATATAAGTATGTGATATTTTGTTTAATTTCTTCATGCCTCTTTTGCCTGGTCTATATCCTTTCTCACCTCCCGCTCTCTCTCCTCTTACTAGTTACCCCCACCCCATTTTTTTTATTATTATAATATAGGAATTCAAAAAAAGAAAGATATATATAAACATTTCAAATTTGGTTTATGTACTTGCCTAAAAATGTTTGAGACTTCTTTTTAGAGAGACAGAAATAGTCTAGCACATTCGTTAAGACTGAGGTCTCTGGAACTAGACTGTATGGGTTTGAATCCCAGCTCTGCTCCTTTCTATTCATTTCATCTTGGGAAGTACAGTTAATCTCCTTTGCTTCAGTTTGCTCATCTGGGGATGATAGTAAAGTGGGAATAATGAGAGAGTACTCACTTCATAGATTGTTGTGAGGATTTAATGATTTGGTTTATGTCTTAGTCTGTTCAGGCTGCTATAACGAAAAATGCCATTAACTGGACAGCTTAAACAACAAACATTTATTTTTTACAATTTTGGAGGCTGAGAAATTCAAGATTAAGGCACCGGCAGACTTGGTGTCTGGTGAGGACTCACCTCCTGGTTTACAGATGGCTGTCTTCTCCCTGTGACCTAGCATTCATGAGGGCTTCCCCCTCATGCCTCATTACCTCCTAAGCCACCTCCCAATGAGATTACATTGAGGGTTAGGATTTCAACACATTAAATGTCATCTATATGTCTTGTTAGTCTTGAAAATTTACTTTCTCACTTTTATTTTCAGAATGTTCAGCCTGATAAAGAAATTGTGGTGGACATGATAATGTTCTTATGGCAGAAATGCAAATTAGGAATTCAGCGGCTCAATATATCCAGACTTGACTATTCAAAATTCACCCAGAAAATCAGTACTAACAAAGTATTTATTTTTTTCCTTTCACATATTTTTTGTTATTGCTAATTTAAATTGTGATAGTTCAATTGTCCCTGCTATTCCACCTGCATAACTACCATTTTGTAAATGTATTGCTGTGTCAACTTTTAAGTGTATTCTCTGTACTCCTGCCCCAATTTAGTTTTGGGGAGTGGGGAGGTGTTTCAGGTTTTTAAGGGAGGAATAAGTATGTTTCTAAGGTCAAATGAGCTTGGGTAAATTTACTGAGAACTTTAATCTTAGAAAATACAAATAAGTAAGGAGTTTTAGGTTTATTTCTGCAGTAATATATTTAGGCTACCAGTAAATAAAGAGCTATTTCATGGGAAGGCAAAAGTTGAGCAGGTAAATATGATAACCTGGAAATGCAGGAGAAAATATTTTAGCAATAACAGTCTCCTGGGATTCTGAGGCTTGCTGAGATGAGCTACATTAGGATGCCTGGGCATGATTTTATCAAATGCTCTGATGAAGTAATGATGTGGGTGCATAAATACTATTTTCTCGTCTTAGTTCCCAAAGTGTGATGGCTTATTTTGTGCTGAGCTTTGAATTTATAGGCATCAAAGACCAGTGTTCAAGGTGCCTGCCATGGAACTAGAAATATTTTGGAGGACTTCGATAGTGAATATAACAGCTCCTTTTAGGAAGGGGACTCAGAGTTTTGAAGATAATCTTCACTGATACATAAAATCTTCACTGATAAATGAAAATAACATGATAAATTTTCCTTATGGTTATAGATATGCAGACCAGAAGCTTAAGTAGGTCTTCTTTATAAATGTACATAAACATATTGATTATTAAAAATAATTTCATTAGGGTCATTGAATTTTATACTATTTATAATTAAGATGCACTAATATGGAGGAGGTACCTGTACTAGTATAACATTTCAATATAATTAGTAGATGAGGATTTTAAGGAAGTTCTAAGTTTTGAACAGTGTGACTCTGTCTACAATGTAATATACTTTAATTTGATTTTGCTGTATATTTTCTCTTTTCAGTGGATTTATCTTCTGTGGCAAATAAATGAAGTAATTCACTGTTACAAAACGGAAGAGATTGACATTGTAGTGGTGGCAGAGGTCGCATTACGATTAAGTGAAATATTGGAGACTTTAGGAAACCCGAAAGGAAAATTTAAAAGAACTCAAGGTAGAATATTGAATAAAAAGGATGAATTACATATTAATGCACATATACACATATGAATAGATCAGTGCAAATTGGAATACAGGATAAATTTTTTTAATGGAAACTAGACATTTCAATATTGTGCTTCATTGATGATTTATAATCAGAGACAGATATAGGTTTAACCAAATGAATGTTAAATATAGTTATATGCTGTATGAATCAATGGCAGACGAAACTGTCTTACACTATATATTTCTTCTCCATTCCTCATCACCACCTGCTCCCCGCTTCCTCATTCTTCCTCTTTTCTGTTCTTTTCTCCTTTAATTCCCTTTTATACATCCTGCTCTTCCATTTCCTGATAGAGTGTATGTTTTTTGAAGAGAGCATGTTTTAGTCACCATGATATTTTCGGTTCCAGCTCTGCCTGTCCTCTGTTGTTAAACAGGGCTTTGCAGGTGGAGTTTTAGTCATGGTTCTCACACTTTGATTGGTATCAGTATCACCTGGGAATTTGTTAAAACTGTAAGGCCCAGGCCCTATTCTACTTCAACAAGCCTGGACCTTTCTAGTGTTTATTGGCTTACCAGGTGATTTTGGTATGTCTTAAAGTTTGAGAACCACTGGTTAGAGGTGTCTGGCTAACTAACACAAGCAATGGCCTCAAATCACATTTTTTTGAAATGTCCTGTTTTAATTGTTTTTTTTCTTTTGTAAAACTTTTATTATGCAGAATTTAAATATAAAGTAGAGAGATGAAATAAATCACCATGTATGCATCATCCAGTACTAATAATTATCAGCATCTTGTCAATCTTATTTCATTTCTCTCTGCAACACTTTCTTTTTTCCTGAAGTGTTTTAAAGTAAACATATGTCATTTCACCAGCACATACCTCAATGTGTCTCTCTCTCTCTCCACAATGCCATTATTATTATGCCTTACATGATCTGTGAAAATTCCTGTTTCTGATTGTAGTAAAAATATTATAAGTTATTTTTTCCCAATCAAAATCCAAATAAGTCTCTCTCTCTCTCTCTCTCTTTTCAGAAACATCTTTAAATAAATGGACTAGTGAATTATTTGGGACTCCAAGTGATGGCCGGGAAGTTCTTCCAATATTACAGGTCTTACAAAATATATTTTAAAATAGTTAAAAACATGAATTTTAATTTTTGAATAATATTAACTTTGTAAATGTATAATGGTTAATTATAAAGGTAATTTTGAATATTTAAACTTTGACAATTTATGGTTTCTACATACATTAGAACTACAGGGCCATTTTCCTACTTTTTGCTGTAGAATTTTTGAGTTCTTTACACTGTATTTTGTCTTGTGAAGAGAGCTAGAGTGAAGAAATCTTAAATTAAAAACAGAGATTGTTTGAACTGCATTAAGAGATTGAGGAGGCCTAATAACTGTCTGCCAATGGTGTTTTCGGGGATTACTTAGAGTGCATGTCAAATCTGTAGCTTCCTATTTTCCATTCTAGACATATTGAATCATAAATTCAGGTGTGATGTTTTTAACAATTCTTAATTCAGATATGTTCTTCTTAAAAGTTCCCAGGTGGATTCTTAAGACACAAGAATTTGAGAATCACTGGCTTAGTGGGCTGGTTCTCACTCTCTAAGGCAGCGGTTCTCAACCTGTGGGTCGCAGAGGTCGAACGACCCTTTCACAGGGGTCGCCTAAGACCATCCTGCATATCAGATATTTACATTACGATTCATAACAGTAGCAACATTACAGTTATGAAGTAGCAACGAAAATAATTTTATGGTTGGGTCACAACATGAGGAACTGTATTTAAAGGGCCAGAAGGTTGAGAACCACTGCTCTAAGGCCTTATAGGTAGAGATGGGAATACTAGTGGAAGTTCCGAAGTGCTGGTTTTGGCTTGTGATGGAAAATTTCTGGCAACTATTGCCACTAAAATGAAATGGGTTTCTTAGGAGATGTCCAATTTCCCACAACAACTAAAAACTGAACATCACTTATGAACTATTGCTGTTATTTAAATTAGAAAAATGCGCTTTGTCCTTGCGATGATTTACTGTCATCTGATGGGAAATTGTCAAAATAAATATACAAGTCTGATGTCAACAGTGTAAATGGCATCCCCTAAAATTGTGCAATATACAACATTCCCAGCTACACTGGGGCACATGGTCGATGCAGTAGAGGTGATTCACTGGTGTGGTCAAGGGCACACTTAGTGCTGGGAGACCTGGAGTTGAGTCTGACTCTGAGATTGACTGCTTGTGTGATCTTGAATAAATAATTTCATCTCTTTTAATGTTAGTATCCTTATCTGTAAGATTATAACTATAGTACCTATTCTAATGGTAATATTAAGTTGTACAATTTAAACAAGATGTTGGTAACACCTGGCATATGGTAGCTCTTCAGCTTTTCCCTTATGTTTCATAAGGGAACTGGATCTTAACCTAGGGTTTCAGACCCATGTGGGGGGAGTAAAGTGGGGAAAGGAGTGATAATTTATTGTTAGGACAGTCCAAAATCCCTATGCTCACCTAGCAGAGCCTGTAGGTGAGATAAATGATGTATCTTGCATATATACAGGCAAATATTTAAAAAATATAAGCTGCTATTATAATTATGTAAAATACTACTTGAAAGTTATACTGAACATGTGATGCTATTTTTTTCAACAGATGGATAATAAAATTATAACAACTAAGGAGTACCTATCTCATAGGACTGTGGAAATTTAAAAGTTAATCTTATGTAAAACATATAGCTTAGTACCTAGAACATGTTTTAATTAAATGTTAGCTGTGGTGATAAAGATGATAATACGATGGTGGTAGTGATGATGGTGATAGAATGTGGGTGTGTGTGGGGGGTCTTTGAAATTCTTTGATGTTAAAAAGATATCCTTAGAGACCTGGGTTTCTGGAAAAGCAGCAAATTAGGTGATCAGAAAACCCTCTTGCTGCAAAAACACGTAGAAATTATAGACATAATTAAACAAGTATCTTCAAGTACATTGCATAGTTCACTAGACAGTAAGGTAAATCCCAGGGGTCTAAATAGAAAGGGGATCTGAAAACCAGAAAATAATTTTATGAGTAGATTCTGCAGTAGGTTGATGGGCTCAGTTACAGGCTTAGATAACAGCCATCCCGGGACAAGAGATGAGGCTTGGGCACGGAAAGATAAAGGCTTGAAACTGAGACTCACACATCGAGTTAGAACCTACAAAAGACTACATCTTAGGAAAAGGTAGAGCAGGAAAAAAATCTGGCTGTTTGTGTAGGGAGGTATCTCAATGGGTGCTGAAAAGAGGAGTGGATGAGAGAAAGTTTCTCTAATGATTTATAATTTTGGGTTTGCCCTCAAGTAGGTCTATTATTTGAATTTATACTATTTGAGATGCTCAGAAACCTCCCTGAGCCTCTGATTCTTTTAAAATTATTATTATGAATTCTTTTTAGTTGGTGCACACAAATGTAGTTCAAGTGCTGGACGTTAAACGCATCCCACGGCACGACTTTGTTGGTCACACAAAATATAATAATCACAATAATTGGAACACGGATTCTTGTTTGTGCCAGATTTCTATAAAAAGGGTACCATGGACAGTATTTCCACCTCTTGAATTTAACCTTTCTTGTGAGCCTGTAATTCTTGTATCTCCATTCAAGAAGGGAGGGGCAAATATATATTATATATCTTGAATGGATGTATGTAACCAAATTGTATATATTCCAGGAATGCAAGGATGATTTAACATTAGAAAATGTATAATGCAATACACCACATTAGCAGGTAAAAGGAAAAAAGTGTGCACCCCACTAGATAAAGAGATGTAATAAAAGCACTTGACAAAATTCAACAGCAATCTTTTTAAAAGATAACTCTTAACAAGTTAGGAATAGAACTTCTGTATTTCATAAAGATCTGAAGATCTTTAATGAGTGTTATACTTATGTTAAACGATGAAAAGCAGTCCCTTTATACTGATGTAACAACATAAGGATATCTGTCCAACATGTCCTAGAGGGGTGAGTATAAAAAAGAAAGCAGAAAAATTGTAAAGGAAGTATCAACTTTGTATTTATTCATGGATGAGTACAATGAAATGCATATTTTAGCAGTATCAATCTTAATGTCCATCAGCAGAAGAGTAGATAAATATATTGTGTCATATTCCTCAGTGTAACAATTCACTGTAGCCGTGAGGATGAATGAACTAGAGTGGGCTTGAGCCAGAGTGAGTTTGGCATCATTGCCATCCTCTTATTTGCATTAAAGGAGGAAAACCTGCATCTCATTTCTGTATGGTTCTAGGTTAGTCTTCCAATGAGGGACATTTGCATGAATTTGTAATGCAGAGGGAAAGAGAGTTCTTATGTTACAGTGGTATTTGGAAGAAGTGAATTCACTAGTCCTAATGTGCAAGCTCTTGCAATTCACCTGCTTCACTAGTAGATCCTTGAGGTTGTCAGCTGCCTTTTAGGTGCTTAGATTCACAGACTTCTGAATGTAGCAAAACAGTCACTGGCAACTTTCTTGATCTTTGCTCCCCATGCCTTCCAATGGTGATAGACATGACCAGCTCTGTGTATTAAGTCCCTTTCTTTTTTTTTCTCTTTTTTTTCTTAATATATTTTATTGATTTTTTACAGAGACGAGGGAGAGGGATAGAGAGTTAGAAACATCGATGAGAGAGAAACATCGATGAGAGAGAAACATCGATCAGCTGCCTCCTGCATACCCCCCACTGGGGATGTGCCTGCAACCAAGATACATGCCCTTGACCGGAATCGAACCCGGGACCCTTGAGTCTGCAGGCTGACGCTCTATCCACTGAGCCAAATCGGTCAGGGCTTAAGTCCCTTTTTGTTTGGAATATCTAGAGTCATCCTATGTTCCTAACCAAACCCTGACTGACAGATTGAGTTTCATACACCAGCATGAAAAACTTTCAACAACATGTGATTGAAAGAAGAAAAGCAAACTGCAGAATTCCATGAGCGAATTAAAAATATGCAAAGCAATAGTGCATATCATTAATGGACATATACACATGTAGTAAAAGGTTAAAAACATGAAAAAGAATGGTAAGACCAAATTCAAGGGCAATGATTACCTCAGGTACACAGGGATTTCAACTCTATGAATGTATATGTGTGCTTTATTTCCTAAAATTTTTCTGGAAAATATATGGAAACTTATAAAGCTTGAGCAAAGTGGGTTGCTTTTCATGTTAGACTATCTATAAAAATAATTCCATTAAAAAGGTATGTAGTTTTTAAAATCATGGTGTAGACCATTGGATTTAATAGCTTCTAAGTATGGATTTCTAGCTCTAAGATTCTGAGGTTCAAAAAAGTAACTTTAAAAATAATGTAAAAATGATAAATGAATTATATTTTTAAAATTTACCTATATATTTGATACAATCAGAATTCTGAAAACCATAAAAGGAAGCTATCTACATGTTTGTGAAATCTAATTTGTATTTGGAGAAAAGTATTAAATATATTCATTATTTTACCTTTATTAATAATACTCCATATTTAATCAAAAGGCAAATACACTTAATAAGAACTTTAATATTGTTGACATTGGATAGACTATTTAAATTTGTTATTTGGTTTTGAATTATTGTTAAAAGAAGTTTAGAAATGTTGCATATGAATTTTTCTCAACTTTTCTTTTTTTTTAATTTTAATTTTTTTTGGTAAAAGTATTACAAAGGGTATTACATATGTGTCCTTCCCCCCCCCGCCCTTGACAATCCCCTGCCCTCCCTTACCCCCCAGTGTCTTATGTCCATTAGTTATGCTTATATGCATCAACTTTTCTTTTTCTGTTTTGTTTATAAAATCAATTTAGAAAACACCCTTGGAACAGTTATATTTGGCTTATGAACTTCTTGACAAAGCAATCGGTGGAATAAATGTCAATCGCATGTTAGCTACTTTGCCAAATGGATTATCAGTGTTTGATCATTGCTATGCCAAGGTAAGAATGGGAAATTCATATATTAGATTTAAGTTCTACTTAAGTGGGATGAGGGCTGACCTTGCAAGTAGATAAGTAAAGCATGATTTGTGGTGGCTTCCCTCTCATAAGCCAGGAACATATTCAATTCCCTTTTCCCAGAAGAAATCAAGAAGAGTAAGGCGTCTTTGTATTTGTCATTGAAGATGAATTTGTAAGCCAGAGTACAAAGGGTTGAGAAATCAGCAGGATTTAATGACTAGGAGTAAAATAACATGGGTGCTCATAGGGTAGAACTGTTATTAGTATGTTTTTATAACTATGTTTATTTTTTATTTTTACTTCAACTCTATCAAAGTATACACAGGATTCAGATGGAGACATTTCCAAACCAGTCACAGCAAATAGTTTCATGATGGATTTACATCTTGAATTAATTCAAGCTCAGCACCAAATAGCTGTTGTGCTTCTTGACCAACTGGAAGGTATAGTTATCAAAGCAAACAATTTGTTCTGAATCAATCTGAAGCTAAGTTTAAGTATAGAATTAATTTAATTTGTAAATTATGTTCTTGTCAACTGGGTGTTTATTATTTTGTTTTTTCTTCTCTGGTTAATATCAATAGATAGCTTTCATTATTCTTTACACCTTGCATAGCTAATAAGTTAGTAAACATATAAAATTTGTTTATTTGAGCTATATTAAATTATTGGTATTTTGATAAATCAATGAAACAACCATTTATTGAGTGCCTACCAAAATCCAGGAATCATGATAGGCTTGGCACAAATAAGACACCCAGCCTCTACTTTTGAGCTTATAGATAAGCCAGGTATAATGAGGGAGGTTACTACATGTGATAGAAGTGGGTTCACAGTTTTTGTTATGGGCACACAGAAGAGGAGTATCCATGTGAAACAAGAAAGTCGGGGATGACTACCTGGAAGAGGTAATAATTGACCAGAAAGCTAGTAAATATTAGCTTTATGAAGAGGATTGAAAGGAGGCCATAATTTTGGTTAGAGAAAGTAATGTTTAGAAAGGTGGAAGCAAACAGTTGTAAGGTGCATCTCTAGGAACGACTGGAATTCTCATGGCTGGATATAGCGCACGTGTCATGGAATAACAGATACGCCCAGGGAGGTAGATCACAGATAGATCTTGAAGAGCTAATGGGTATAGTTATCAAAGCAAACAATTTGTTCTGAATCAATTTTACCCTGAAAGCTAATGAAAAACTGAGAAAGACATCTCTGACAGAGGACAGATGATTTGAATTTAAGTTGTTCTTGCAAGAACAGCTTTAAGAAAATGTGCCAGCAATCATACAAATAACGTGTTTACTTGAGTCTCAAAATAAGATTTAATATCATTAGGTCTAGAAACTCTTCTGTTTAGGATTAAATTTTGATAAAGCCATCTTACTCTTGACATGATTGTATAGCCACTATTAATATAACTAACCGTTCTCCATTTTAAATTATTGAGTAATTAAAGATAGAACTAAGTGTTGTAGCCTACTATGACTTCTGATCTCAATCTAAAGCATATCATACATACAGCTAAATAGTACATTGGATCTTATTTATCAATCTTAAAGATAATTTTATTTAAGATGAAATAGAAAAAACATATTTTTTGAGTTAGAAGTAATTTGAAAATTCTTATGTCCTCATGTATACTGTGGCAAATATAAGTAAAACTGCACTATAGTAGATTTGTTTGAATTTTTATCTTTTCATGGAAAAAACATGATAGAGAAAGTGATAATTTTACAAATAGATAGCTTTTATTTAATGTTTAGAAAATATTTCCTTTCTTGAACACAGCTTAATTGTAATGGCAATCTCCTTCTTCCTCTTCAGTTTTGCAGATTCCAACCATTAGCAAAAATATATCTACCAAAATTCCAGAAAAACGAAAACAACCTGAAAACGGTGTTTGTTTTACAGGTAATTAAAACCGGGATAACCTGTCTTTCCAAAAATTTGTAAAGATAGTTTTTATGTTACCTTTTTGATTAAATGTTTGTTTACTTTTTCAGAAGTCAGTGTAATGAATAAAATAAGGAAGAATAAGCTATCCAAAGCAATTTACTTGATGAAGAAAGCTCTTCTAATATTTGAGAAAGATGCAACCTCTACCTCTTCACATAACTTTTTGATGGTAACAATATATCCATCCTTCCTTTTAGTCTTGACATACAACCTCTGTTAAGTGAATGATTTATTTCCCTTTTCTAAAAATAATGTGTTGCCCTTAACATTAATTATGAACCTTCAGGTTTACCAAATCTAGTGATCTGAGAAGAAACAGTCTTAGTCTTGAGCAAAAGTAGGTTTACGTTGTTCATATAGAAAAGAATATAATCATCTATGTTTATAAAAACCCAGTGTCCGTGATGACCAGGACGACCAAATGACCGGTCCATCCCCCTGGCCCTCAGGCTCCCATTGATCAGGGGTTGGCTAACGGGGGTACCGGGGTCCCTCAGGCTCCGATCAATCAGTGGCAGTGGAGCAGGTGGAAGGCAGACTGCTTGGTCCCTCCTCCCGGCCTTCAGACTCCAATCAATCAGTGGTGGAGGCAGGGTGGGACTGGGGACTGGCTCCCTTAGTAGTCCTGCAGTTTCAATCTCCAGAGGACAGGCCAGGCACCAATGAACCAGCACTGCTGGCACGATCCTGACAGTGCTGCTGGCCTCCTGGAACTTGGCCTTGGGTACTGCAGCTGCTTCCCCTCCCTAGACGTTCCACAAGGAAGAAAGGATACTGCCAGCAGTACCAGGGGTGACCAGAGGTGACTGCTCTCCCTATGCTTCCTCCAAGTCACTCGAGCCGGCCCCCACCCACCCCACTCCAGATGAAGTGTGAGCACTGCACACGGAAGGAATGTAGTAAAAAAATAAAAATGGATGACCAAGAGAATGCCACAGTCAACGTCCGGAGTCCAGCTCAGGAGAACAGAGAGAAGGGAGAATTCCATAAGTTGGCCGATGCCCAGATATTTCTGAGTGACTGCCTGGCGTGTGACAGTTGTGTGACCGCAGAGGAGGGAGTCCAAGTTTCTCAGCAGAACACCACGGACTTCTTCCATGTTCTAAACCCAAATAAGAAATGTGATACCTCACAGAACAAGGTGCTGGCAGTGTCCGTGTATTGTCAGTCTCTGCCTTATTTTGCTGCTAAATTCAGCCTCAGTGTCACTGATGCATCCAGAAGGTTCTGTGGCTTCCTCAAAAGCCTCGGGGCGCACTGTCTTTGACATGACGATAGCTGCGGACTTCAGCATCCTGGAGAGTCAGGAGGAATTTGTGTGTCAATACTGCCAGCACCATGAGGAAGAGCCCTGGCTACCCATGCTGACCTCCGCCTGCCCTGGCTGGGTCCGATATGCAAAGCACATGCTGGGTCACCCCTTCACCCCCCACCTCTACACGGCCAAGTCTCCCCAGCAGATCATGGGCTCTCTGGTGAAGGATTACTTTGCCAGATGGCAGATTCTGTCCCCAGACAAGATTTTCCACGTCATTGTGGCCCCGTGTTATGACAAGAAACTGGAGGCCCTTTGAGAAGATTTCCCACAGCTTTACATAGTTCCCAGGGTGCTGACTGTGTGTTAACCTCAGGTGAAATTGTTCAGATAATGGAGCAAAGTGACCTTGCCTTGAATGACACCGCCATGGACACTCTGTTTGGAGACATGAAGGAGAGATTTCCGAGCCTGTGGGGAACGGGCCTAAGTCGGCAGGCAGACATCCCTTGAGGGGTCCTGGACTGCAAGAGGGTGCAGGCCGGGCTGAGGGACCCCCCCAGTGCACAAATTTAGTGTACCAGGCCTCTAGTCTATGTTATAAAAGGCCAGTGGCTGTAATGCCGTAACGACCAAATGACCAGTCACCAGGAGGTGTATTGATGGGTCTCATGGCGCTGCAGGTCTGGGTCTCGCATGATTTCGTGCACTGGGCCTCTAGTCCTATATAATAAAAAGCCAGGGACCATAAGTATAATGACTAGAATGACCGCTCGACCAGTTGCCATGAGGTGCATTGACCACCTCTTGGTCCCTCCCCTCCCCCACCTTCCTTACCCCCTACCTGTGCCTGCAGGCAAACGGGGAACCATGGGGGAAGCAGGTGGGTGGCTGCAGGGCAGGACTACGGACTGGCAAGTGGGCAGAACGACTGACCTCTTGGTCCCTCACCCTGGCATGCAGGCTCCGATGGATCAGCGATGGTGAACGGGGTAACTGGGGTGGGTGGCGGGAGGACTGGGCTGGCTGTCAGGCTGTTGGGATCTCCAGCTCATCCCTGACTGCTCGGGGGCTCAGACCGGTGGGAAAGCGGGTGCCAAAAACTTCACCTCTCTGTGCCTGCACTCAGCCAGCCGCTGATGGAACATGCCTCCCGCTTGGGGCCACTCATGTGGGCGCCGCTGCCGCTGCCGCCGCCACTGCTGCTGCTGCTGCTGGGACTTGTGATTCTAACAGAAGCTGTGTGGTGTGCCCGTGACCTACCCGCCCCGGCGGCGGAGGCGGCGTTCGGCCTAGGGACTGGCGAATGGGCAGAAGATGGCCCTGATTGCAGGCTAGGCCTAGGGACCCTACCCACATGATTTCGTGCACTGGGCCTCTAGTATATAATAAAAGCCTAATATGCTAACTGTTTGGTCATCCGGTCGTCCATTCAACCAATCAAAGCTATGCTAATGATATGCTAAGGCCACTCAACTGCTCGATATGATGTGCACTCACCACCAGGGGCAAACAACCAGTCAACCCATCACTATGATGTGCACTGACTACCAGGGGGCAGATGCTCCCACTGGTAGGTTAGCTTGCTGCTGGGGTCCGGCCAATCAGGACTGAGCGAGACTGAGTGAAGCAGACCAGACATGCCCTGGAGCCCTCCCACAGTTCCTCCCTGGCTGGCCAACCTCCTGTGTCCCTCCCTGACCCCAATTGTGCACTGCTGGTGTCCCTCAGCCTGGCCTGCGCCCTCTCGCAATCTGGAACCCCTCGGGGATGTCGGAGAGCTGGTTTCAGCACGATCTTACAGGCCAGGCCGAGGGACCCCACTGGTGCACGAATTCGCGCACCGGGCCTCTAGTAATTAATAAATAATTATTCATGAATAAACTCTGTGTTTCACATACTCACAACTGGAAATCTAGTTTTTCTACACCCTGAGTATTTCCAGTCTTGAACTCTCCCGAAATGAGCAATTTGCTTTCTGTATAATCTCTCTGTAGGTGCAACTTAACATGGGAAGTCATGAAATCTGCAGAATTCGAAATAAGGGAAATTATAGAATCTAAGTGACACTGTGCCAGCATAAGGCAGTCCTTACTATGGAATTAAAATACCCTCTCTCCAATTGGATATTGCTAATTTATGGACCAATTGTCTTGTTGATGTTGTCTCACTCTGGCCTGGAAATTGTTCTATCTTCTTGCCTATTCATTATATATTAATTTTAAAGTTTAAATTCATGAGGGAAATAACTCTTCAAGTTATGGAATCTTTTATATACCCCCCCCCCCACCCCCTGTGTATTATCCACAAAAATTTGGTTGTATTGTCTGAGTGAATGGCACATGATGAAGCAGAGAATAATGCTACAAGTAGATTGGCTGATAAGGGAAAGAAAAAAGTAGGTCAATACTAAGGGGAAGATGCAGAGTTAAGGAACATTTTAGAGAGAAATTTTAGCATATTTACATGCTAAGAATGAAAAGCCAGAAAGAGAGAAATTGAAGATACATCAGAATGGTTAATATATAAAGTGGAGTCTAATAGAAGAGGGAAGGGGGATGAGGCTGAAAGCACAGATAAAGTGATCCATTTTCAATGGAGGGTGGCCTCTGATATAGAAGGGAAGGTGGAAAGAATAGATAAAGATTTAATTAAATCTGTTGGTATAGAAGCAGAGTTGAGTTGATACCCTTGTACCTTAATCATCTGATAAAGTAGGAAGTGAAAAATATCTGCCAAAAATAGTGAGTGAGGGTGGATAGTTGGATTGAGGAGAGAGATAATGATTGGAGAGTGGAGAGGGATGGATGAGAGAGAGGTGACTCCAAGTTAAAGGACTGACTAGCACAATGAAGTCCTAGCTGAGATTGAAGACTGAATTTTTTAGGAGACACTATAAGCATGGTGGTGGGGCATCATTCTGGTGTGGTATTTTATTTTATTATTTATTTATTTATTTATTATTGGTCAATCCTGACCTGAGAATATTTTTTTACATTGATTTTTTAGAAAGAGTGGATGTGAGAGAGACACATTGATTGGTTGCCTCCTGCACACACTCGACTGGACTGGGCATGCAGTCTGCAACCCAAGTACTTGCTCTTGACTGGGAATCAAACCTGAGATCCTTTGGTGCATGGGGCAATGCTCTAACTACTTAGCCACACAGACCATGACTTGGTGTGGTATTTTTAGTAGCCGTGACAGCAGACTATTTGGAACAGAGAGTTTTGTATAGGGTTGGATTTTTTTTTAAAATGAAAGCTCTGTCCTCCTACCACTGAGATTGGGGAACATACTGGAGTTTTGAGAAGTCTGAAGTTTCCACATTCTCCTTGTGCATCTTTTCCTTCCTTCCTTCCTTCCTTCCTTCCTTCCTTCCTTCCTTCCTTCCTTCCTTCCTTCCTTCCTTCCTTCCTTCCTTTCTCTCTCTCTCTCTCTCTCTCTCTCTCTCTCTCTCTCTCTCTTCTTTTTTCATTTGTATTTATTTTTTAATCTTTATTGTTGAGATTATCACAGATGTTCCTTTTTTTCCCCCCCTTGCCCTTCTCCACCCAGTTCCCACCCAGCCCCAGGCCTTCACCACCCTATTGTCTATGTCCATAGGTAATGCATATATGCATATAAAATCTTTATTTAATCTCTTCCCGCACCCCTCACCTCCCTTCCTTCTGAGAATAATCAGTCTGTTTCTTCATTTCCATGTGTCCAATTCTATTTTATTCACCAGTTTTTTCTGTTCATTAGATTTCTTATTAATTTTTATTTTTAGATTCAATTATTGGTAGGTATGTATTTGTTGCCATTTTGTTGTTCGTATTTTTGTTCTTTTTCTTTTTCTTCTTCTTAAAGAATACCCTTCAACATTTCATATAATACTGATTTGGTGGTGATGAACTGCTTTAGCTTTTTCT